ATATAACCTTGTGGCTCAAATGAAAGATTGGATTTTCTAAAAATTGGCGCAAATGCAATGCACCCCTAATTTGATGAGTGAATAATCATTCTTTATCTTGTTTCAAATAATTGTTAAACAAATAAAGACAAAATTAATGAACATTTTAATATATTAACATGATTAAGCCAGTTATTGATGTTTTGATATTTTCTAGAATATTTTCTGGAATAATAATATGGCTTAAAAAACATGTAGAAAACGAGGCTTTGCCGAGCATTTCTATCCTGTTTTGAGCCGAGTACAAATAAAATGCATATTTCAAGACATTTTATGGTTATTCTTTATATACTCACTACTGTAACAACAGCCCATGAAAAGGCCGTGAAATGTCTGTGAAATATCACAGGGTCGTGAAAACCCCGTGAAAATACCCCGTGACTTTTGTAAAAAAAATATTTCTAAAGGCCGTGAAAAATATTTGATGTTAGAAAAAGACCATGAAATTTCAATATTCCGTGAAAAGGCCGTGATAATTTGTCCTTTCATGCTTAATAAAAATTTCACGGCCTTTTCACTGGTTGTTGAAACCAGTGAAAAGGCCGTGATATTTTTTCATGTCAATTTTTTCTTATCCTAATTCAGATTTAAAACATCCCATGTGATTATTGTGATATGGTCTAATTATTTCCACTCACATTTTTCTAAATATCCTATAAACTTTTCATTTTTATATATGTCTGTTTAAATATTATTATATGCAATACTACTGTACAGGACTGACTTTTAAATGGAACAATTCATTGTTATAATTAATGACTTTGTGCCAATAAATATTTTGTATTTAAAGAAAAGTATTTTGCTTCTCGTCTGTACATTATTATAAACAATGTAAACATTAATTTTAATTGGAACCGAAACATGTAAAAACGAGAACTTCCCGGAATATCAGACCGTATCCGGATTCGTGTTTCTTTTAGAGTAATTGTAACATTTCCGCAAGGTTGGAAATTTGAAAGACGCCGAAGGTCAATTAATATTTACTTTATAGATGCAAGACGAGTGACAGCAAGTTTGAGGTAAGTTAAGTTATTAATATTTTATTCTTTTATGCATCATATCACCAAAATGTTGATGACGTTTGTGAGCATTTCCATTGAACTGATTTTCACTGAATTTGCAAAAACCGCGCAAACATGCATGTGATATATTCACTTATATTTGAGTCTGTTGCACTTGATTCCTTTAATCATTTCGGTTAATGTTTTCTAAGACTTACCGGATCCTTTAAATACGATTACGGTTTTGTTTTGTTTATGTATTTGGGGAAAAAAGGGGGTCCTTTTTCCCCACACTGGCCACATAAAAAAATGACATTTATGTACAGTACACTACGTAGACATAGACATAGATAATTGGAAATGATTATAATAGCAATAAGTATCTCTGAAATGGAGTTCACTCTGATAATCAGAGGCGTAACCCCCTTTGAATGTGTTGGGAGCTATTTAAGTATTTTCTGACTTGGCCGTCGGGACACAGAGTTCAAAAGGGATTAATCAGAGGCGTAGCAGGGAAAGTATTTAATATTTGTACGGCAAAATGTCCTTTCTTGAAGAGTTTGTGCCATATCATAAGAATAATTGGTATGACAATGAGGTGTTTAAAAAATAATTGGTATGGCGAATGTGCCTGCAGTAAAAGTTGCTACGCCCCTGGCCCCCTGTAAAATAAATAGCTGTGACTCATTACGGCCACTTAGTCTAGACAAGTTTGGCTTTAGCCATACATATCATTACTTCAAAGAAACATTTAATTTTAATAGTCTGTCTTAAAAGTGTCTTTAATCTTTAAAAAAATCTTTAAGTGGCTGTTCTGTTTCAATGATGTTTTTTAGTACTTTTCATACCATTTTCACCTCCAGTATGAACATCTGCCCCCTATTCAATATGGGTCATTAACCGTGAAGTCCTGTATTGCATGGAATAATATTGTAGCTGTTTTAAGTACATGTATGTACATAAATGCCAAAAATTAATTTGAATATATAAATAGTTTTTTTATATACATGTATAATATATGTAATGTTTCTTTATTTATTCTAGGAATGAAGAGCAAAAGGATATAGCAGTCTTTATATAAAATAGTTCAGGAATCCAGTTGGAAAGAAGAGCTTTTCAGTTAAAAGTATTTCCTGGGAATTCACAGGAAATTCTATAAATGTTTTTTCTGGAATAGTTATTCAAATGGGCAGTGAAGTGAAGGATTACATTAGACAAATATTGCTGAAGTGGTAAAATCAGAACCAAGAGATGTACAAAATTTCTACAATACATGTCACAGCTGACTTAAGCTACTTAATCACATTGACATTTGTGTGCTTTTATGTTTTCTTTACATAATTACTACAGTTCTATTAAAATTAATATTTTTATTCTTTGTCACAATTATTACTAAAAAAAAATACAGCATATTAATATGGTTTTTCATAGTCTCACTTGCATTGTACTTAAATAAGTTGACTGTAGATGTTTACACTAGGTTTTCAGGCATTTCACTTCACTTGATTGAAACAGCATTTAAATGTTTTGTTAAATTATGGCCTGAAAAATACATTTAACATTTTACAGGAGTTTTCACAATCAGTGAATGGCTGTTTATCACAGTATTACATGTACATTTCACGGTCTTTTCACAATGGGCACATAATTTATCACGACTTTTTCACGGTGTACATTTTTGTTTTTCACAGGGTTTCTACGGTCTCTTTACCCAAGTTTTCAGCTGGCACCTTTTCACGGCCTTTCCACGACAAATAAAGGCATATACTGTACTATATCTACATTTTACGGTCTTTTCACAATGGGCACATAATGCATTATCACGACTTTTTCACGGTGTACATTTTTTTTTCACAGGGTTTCTACGGTCTTTTCACCCAAGTTTTCAGGTGGCACCTCTTCACGGCCTTTTCACAAACTTTTCACAGCCTTTTCACGACAGTCATTCCATGGCATTGTCACGGATAAGTTTCACGGCCCACCGTAAATTAACCGTGACAAACACTGTAAAAATCACCAGCATTTTTACGGATTTTTTAACGGCCAATCTACGGGGCATTGTTCCAGTAGTGACTGCAACTCCTATACCTGTTCCAAACGAAATATTTAGGGTCAAAAACATCATATTTTAATGTGGAGCGGACGACGTACAATTTCCGCGAACCTGTACTGTTTATTGACGTCATAAATAAAACTCTACGAAAACGCATTGTCAACGTCATAAACAAGGCGATATACGGTCAGTGACTGTATATCACAAATGAATATACGGTCAATGCAATTTGATTGCGCAAATAGCACAGCTGCAGTATATATCATGTATATTGTCCTAGTAGAATAAATTTATAATGAAAAGTTCGTAAGGTAATGAAATAAATAAATGATATAAATACCGGTTGCGTCTTTCAGTTTTTGCAGGTTTTTCGCGAGGGTTTTCCTTATATTGTACCCCTTTCCATATTATAAAAAACGCTGATAATATTAATTGTTTCTTTACATGATTCATTGCAAAACTCATCAAGATTGAACATGTATTTGAATGTTTCAAGATGATATCTAGAAGTCAAGAGTGGCATTTTTAATATGTATTAATGAAAATAATTTTCCCTTATGACCTGGCGATATGGATTCAGGTGACCTACACCCAATGTTCCCCCGCACAATAAAGGAATACATTATTTGGCAGAAAAGACATAAAAAAAATCGCCTTTTCATGTCTACATGTTCTTCCAGGACATTATTTTTATCTGAACTTAATTTACGAACTTCTTTGATAAAGGATAGGAACAATGTGCTGAAATTGAATAAAGGTGTGGTAAATGTCAATTAGACCATAACAGGCATATCTAAATAAAGTTTCCTGTAGTGACATATAACTTCCCCATTTAAAGCTTTATATCCAATACTGATGCACTATGTTTGTCCCCCGCGCAACTCGTTGCGGGGAACATAGAAATACCGGACGTCCGTCCGTCCGTCCCGTCTTGTTAGCGCTCTTTTGTGTACAATTCTTGCCAGATTTTTATGAAATTTATATCGTAGGTGTATATCAGCAATGTCTTGGACGAGTTCGACAATCAGTGCCGATCAATTATATTTAAAAGGGTTATGCCCCTTGGAGTCATTAATTATATGGAAAATCGCAATTTTAGCGCTCTCATTTCTTCAATTCTTGCCAAATTTTTATGAAACTTATTATCATATTGAATAATAATAATATAAATTGAAATTGTATGCATGTGCTTTTTGTTGTAAGGAATGAAAGTATTAAAACGTGTCGGGTTGAAATTTTCATGTCTTTGGGAGGGGATCTTGAATTTATTTTCCTTCTTAAAGGTGGGGACTTTAAACAAATAAGAGTAATTCAGATGTTTCTCCCCCCACCCCCCTCCTAAATGAAAGAAAATGACCAGTCCCTTAGGACATACAAATATTTATTTACTTAACTAAAGGCTACAGTAGTATACCGCTGTTCAAAAGTCATAAATCGATTAAGAGAAAACAAATCCTGGTTACAAACTAAAACCGAGGGAAACACATCAGCTATAAGAGGAAAACAACAGAACAACAGAAACACTGAACTGCAACAAACACAAACGCCAACATACATAGAAACGGACTATTTGATAACAACTGCCATATTCCTGACTTGGTACAGGACATTTTAAGAAATAACGGTGGGTTGAACCTGGTTTTATGGCTAGCCAAAACCTCCCGCTTATATGGCAATCATATTCAGGATAAAAGGCGGAACGTACTTTCTCGATTTAATAATAAATTTATCAATGATTCTTTCAAATGCAGGGTAATATAAGTAATTTACTGTTTGCAACTTTGCCTTTATTTGTTCAAGTACTGTATAATAGTTTTTTGGTAACAGCGTTTTTGCAACAACGATTTAACGTCTCTATGTTGGATTTCCGATACTAATACATATTTGCATTTTACTTTGTGAAACAGGAACTATTTATCAACGACGAATTAAATCCGCCAAAAGATCAAAGATTAAGTCATCAGATGACACAGGAGTCTTGAAAGATCCGAATGAGACTGGAAGCAATATTAGAGGTGAAATATCGACTCTAATTTAATTATTTTATTTCAATACTAAAACGATGAAAGCAAACATCTAGATTATATACTGGTCAAAGCCTGACTTTATCGATTCAATTCAATAAATTCAAGTTGTTAGAAAGTAAAAATGTTAAATAAAAATTAAAAAGCTTACATGAAATTGTGAATAATAGAAAAGAGTCATTTTCATAATCCATGCCAAAAAATCCTTACACGAACGTGACAAAACCAATGAGAAGGAACCGTGTTTTAAAAAGATTTTTTCAGGAAACCCATATTAGAATCCTTTCCAGAACAGTGTTCAATAGTTCAAGTCAATTCATTTAACTTGAAATCGATAGAAGTACAGAAATGTTTACTTTTAATATGATTATTTATAGTTGATGCATGTATATCTATTGGTTTGAAATTTACTTTTTTCGCATTTATACTGTATTTATTGAATGTATTGTATAATTTATTGGTAACTATAATTCATTTCAGAAAAGAGATTGAAACTTACTGGTGGAAAGAAAACCTCTCGTATATGTAAATATCTTAATTTGTAAACAATGTATTCAAAGTATTTTTACTACTGTATTAAGCTGAGTACGCCACATTTCGATCAGTTCAAGCAAAAAAAAATTATAAAATTGTTACATGAAAATTCTTTTTCTAATCTAGGTGAAGAGTTTCGTGCAGCAAGATAAACGGTTGTGGAAGACTGTTGTCCGTAAATTAATTTTAAAGACGAAAACATGAGATAAATATACTTTTTTTACTTTTAACACGATGCAAGTTTAATGTAAAATATGCGAAGAATATCGTACGCTTTCATCATGTTCATATTAGAATTTTTTAATATTCTAATCTTTTAATTAAGAAACTATATTTTCAGCTTACAATATAACACCGAGCATCTCAGATACTAAATCGACAACTGTTAATGATGACATTGAAATACAAGGATATCAAGGAGTCAAGAATGAAGGTAGAACACGTTTTAACAGTTTGCTTAGTGTTGAGATCCGAATATCGGTAATTATCGCACCGCGAGTAAATTATCACGTTGTGATTGGTTTAACGCCGTCACGTGGTGACCCCTATGGATCCGTAGGGTGTTAGTAAATTTCATAGGGGGTTCATGACGTCATGTCTACTGTTAATGGTGACGTCATCTATTAATGGTGTTGTGTTTCGTTGTTTATTTTTCTACAAAACGCAGCAGAAACAGTCCCGCGTGCGATAAATTCGTTATACGGTTCACTACTGACCCCCTACGGACCATAGAGGGTGAATAAAATCCATAGGAGTTTCGGCCTTCGGCCTCACCCCCTTTGGATTTTACTTACCCTCTATGGATCCGTAGGGGGTCAGTAGCGAACCATATAACTTATAATGTCTTACTACTAATTGGACTTTTAACGAATAAATAAATAAAACTGTGACATCTGAAAGAAATAGTCTTAGTTAGTTTTAAATCGACTTTTACACTACCTTTAACTATTTCAAAGGAGATCAAAAACGGGTAAATGCTTCAGAATTTAAACCGAAAATAGAAAATGATATAGATAAGGAAATATGATATGATTGCCATTTGTTGATAATCCACCCGAGACTAAGGGACGAGGGTATATGTCATTATGTCATTTATTTCAACATTGATATTGCTTTTCATACATTCAATTCATTTTGAATTATCATTTGCTTTTTTTAAAGGATTTTTCCAACTAAATATAGTATGCGATAATATTGCCGTGGACTGCATTGTCGATTCACGGCTAAAAAGAGAATGTAGAATATCAGTGAAAGAATTTAAAGGTAAGATGTTAGCATATTCTAAAATTTCTAGTTAACACAAATCTTGTCGGATTTCGATGGCCGATTCAAGATATTGTCGTGATAATGATGGTTTAATAGTAGGCAACACTAGTTTATCGATGTTCGAAATCAATTTTGAATTGACAAACCAAGATAACTACTACGACAATCGCATGAAATTCAAACGGAGAAAGACCTGGTGCGGCGACAGGGTAGCTTGTCTTTTTATGTACATCATCTTACAATGCGAACCAAGTCCTAGTGAAATATCACAATAGATAAAGACAAAAATGATATTTAATTACCAGGAAATTTGTTGGTTAGTCTAAGTAAACTTGACGTCAAAAGCAAAATTTTTTTGTCAGGGAAGGGCTACTTTTATATCCGTTCTAAATTGGAGTGAGTTAATTGATGGTATGACACCTTTTAAACAAAGGGTTCTTAATGGTAAAGTTGCAATCACGATCGTAATCATGACACTGTTGATATTGAGATAAATAAAAGTTTTGTTTGGAACTAATTAGACTGAACGAGTATATAACACATTTTTAACAAAACTTCATTGTTAAGGTTTGAAAAACCTGCTGGGCTAATACAATAACATATATTTTTTTTTATTTACTGCAAGTATTCAGCTTTGAATTCAAACTAATTCACTTCTATCGCATATAATCATTGTCTGAAATATTTATTTTATGTGGCCTTTTAATCGTTTTTATTCGATCGTCACTGGTGAGTCTTTTAAAGTCGTACAAAATTATAAGCCTGGTATCTTTGATGAGTTTTTTTAATATACGATTTATTTTCAGGATGCAAAGGGGACATGAATCAATGGAGAGAAACAAAGACCACTTTTCTCGTGAAAGCCAATGAAACATTTCTTAATTACGTTAAAAAAAAGAAATCCTTGTTATGTCAATACTTTCTCAACCACATTCCAAGTTACGCCATTGAAAATCGTATCTTAGTAAATGCACTATATTCATCCATTAGAAATAATGATGTAGAAACAGCAAGATTTGTCGGCTGGCATATTGCCAGAAGTTTTCTTGAATGCGTTAATTTACCCGTGTATGATATTTGGTTAGCCTCTTTATGCAAGTGCTTTAGACGAAAAACGAAACTTTGCTCTTGGTTTTGTTCTATGAATGTCACTATCATTGTCATGGTACCTAAACTTATCAAGGAAATTGTAAATAACTTTTCTGGAATACCAGTTAAACAGATTGTGTATCATTGTGAAATATTCAAAGAAGCGAGCGCTATTTCTGAGGAAAGAACTAAATTGTTAGGAAGAGATCTAAATATTCAGTGTCACATTCCAGGTCCATTGGCAGAAAAGCTTTTCAACAACCATAGACGACTAGCTCTTATTTGTCCATCTGAAATAAAATCCATTAATTTTCAAGATAAGCCCAAATTCCTTGTAAGTTCCTGTATTCAACTGTATTGCTATGTAAAAGGTGCTATTCCAATTGGCGAAAAACATTTCCCTAGTGATTTACAGGGTATACCAACGGATGTCATTGAAGGATTTCCTAGGTTCTGTTCACAAAAGATAAGAATAGGCGACTCTGTAACCAATTTAAAGGTCAGTGGTACATTAGGAGGTTTTTGTCTTTTTTATGGAAGACAGGCGCTTCTTACGTGTGCTCATGCAATGCTGGACTGGAATACCCTGCTTTCAGCAGGACATAAACACCATATGCAGCCGGAGAGTGTTCATTTCGAAACTGGCGATAGAATGTTAAATGAGACATTGCATTGTGGAAGGGTTGTAAATCATAGTTTTACTCATGACAACCCACGAGAAACAAGTACAGATGTAGCCGTTATAGAACTCGACAATGGGATATGTGTTTCAGAACAAGACTACGTTAACACAAAAGGAAAAAGGAAAATCCATTATAGGGAATTGGGTAAGATTACAAATAAGGTTTAAATAAATTCAATGAGGGAATATGACCAGTATTATAACCATATGATGATCGTCATTTGTCTGCTCCCTTTTCTTCTGATAAAACTTCAGTTTCAAGAGGTTTAATATTTTCTTAACTACCCTATAATGACGAAGTGATATTGTTGTGCCACGACAATTAAAAAAATTAAAACATCAAATTTCGATAAATATCTAGATATCGTAATAAACTTATTTTCATCGTTCTCTATTTATTTCATTATTACTGATAATCAAATGTTCCGGATATTATTTTATATGATTTGAATTTTACCACCCAAACTGACAACAACTTATAAAAAGTTGATAAAAGTTATGCTGTTGTTATTCAATCATTGGGTCGGGTATTTCCTTGACTTGTACTCGTAAGAAAATCTGGCAGTTAGTACATGTATTTTGAAAACATTTTGTTCTTACAATTTAACATCTAAAGAATACTATAGACAGTTCTTATTTTATACAAAGCCAATCATACTGTCCCAGCTGACGTTGGTTGCTGTCCTCATTTTGTTTTTCATTTTTTTGTCCCCCGCGCGACGCGTTGCGGGGAGCATAAATATACTAACTGTCCTCGCGGTATTGATAGTGCTCTCATGTAAACAATTCTCACCAGATTTTGATCAAACATATTTCAAAGGCTTATAACAGCAATGTCTTGAACAAGTTCAAAAACAAGTGCAGATCAACTATTTTTAAAGGAGTAATGTCCCTTGGAAATATTAATTATATTTTAAATTGTATTGTAAGGGCTCTCACGTGTACCATTCTTGCCGGATTGTAATTTAACTTATACCAGAGGTTTATATCAGCAATGTCTCGGACAAGTTCGAAATTCAATGCCGATCAACTGATTTTAAAAGTTGTGCTCCCTGGAAATATTAATTATATGAAAAATTGCATTTGTAAGCGCTCTCATAACATTGTGTACAATTTTTGCCAGATTTTTATCAAACTTATATCAAGATTAATTTCAGCAATGTCTCGGACAAGTTCGAACATCAGTGTCGTTCAACTTTTTTCAAAAGAGTTATGCCCCTTAGAAATATTTTTTTTAGTTATTGTCCTTAGTCAGATAAATTATGTGCAACGCAGGGGACACTGAAACTGTTTTCTTTATTAGCATAAATCAGGCCGTGCGTTGTCTTATTTTTTTTTTAATGTTTCACGTTTTGTTATGCCGGGGCCTTTTATAGCCGACTATAAGGTATGGGTTTTACTCATTGTTGAATGCCGTACAGTGCCCTGTAAATGTTTACATCTTCGTTCTATGGACAATGGCGGAAAGTCGTTTTGATGGAAAACATGCCACAACTTCTTTTTTTATATAGTTTTGAATTTTTTGTGTTGACGAGTATTAGTCGTTATTATACAAACTGATATAAACAGTAAAAACTTCATATATTATCAATAAACTACACCTGAAAGATTAAGTCTGAAGATATGTTACATCTTAAAGAGTATAAATCTTGCTATTATACAGCAAAAATGCGATGATGTGATGGTTGCTACACGTGGACAATACCATGGTCATATGGACACATACAACTTATATTCAATAAAGGATATGCATATATTTGTTTACAACCACTTCATTGTAAATCTAGTGGATAGTTTTCTCATTGGCATTCATACCACATCCCTTCATTTTTATATTTAACTGCATGCATGGTTGATAAATTCGGTTTCAAGTTATAATTTTAATATGGTCAATCAAAATATAACGAATGTTTCATAATAACATTAACGGTACCAATTTTACTGAACTAGACGCGCATTTTAACAATAAATGTCTCTTCAGTGATGCTCGAGGCCAAAATATTTGAAAATCCAAAACTTGTTCAAAATCAAAAAGCTGATAAAACCACATCAAAACTTTAAATGACAAAATTATGGCCAATGTATTTTGAAAAACATTTTGTTCTTACAATTTAACATCTAAAGAATACTATAGACAGTTCTTATTTTATACAAACTGATTTCTATCTAAATAGAAATCAAAGCCAATCATACTGTCCCAGCTGACGTTGGTTGCTGTCCTCATTTTGTTTTTCATTTTTTTTATCCCCCGCGCAACGCGTTGCGGGGAGCATAGAAATACTGTCTGTCCTCGCGGTATTGATAGTGCTCTCATGTAAACAATTCTCACCAGATTTTGATCAAACATATTTCAAAGGCGTATAACAGCAATGTCTTGAACAAGTTCAAAAACAAGTGCAGATCAACTATTTTTAAAGGAGTAATGTCCCTTGGAAATATTAATTATATTTTAAATTGTATTGTAAGGGCTCTCACGTGTACCATTCTTGCCGGATTGTAATTTAACTTATACCAGAGGTTTATATCAGCAATGTCTCGGACAAGTTCGAAATTCAATGCTGATCAACTGATTTTAAAAGTTGTGCTCCCTGGAAATATTAATTATATGAAAAATTGCATTTGTAAGCGCTCTCATAACATTGTGTACAATTTTTGCCAGATTTTTATCAAACTTATATCAAGATTAATTTCAGCAATGTCTCGGACAAGTTCGAACATCAGTGTCGTTCAACTTTTTTCAAAAGAGTTATGCCCCTTAGAAATATTTTTTTAGTTATTGTCCTTAGTCAGATAAATTATGTGCAACGCAGGGGACACTGAAACTGTTTCTTTTATACAGTGCCCTGTAAATGTTTACATCTTCGTTCTATGGACAATGGCGGAAAGTCGTTTTGATGGAAATCATGCCACAACTTCTTTTTTTATATAGTTTTGAATTTTTTGTGTTGACGAGTATTAGTCGTTATTATACAAACTGATATAAACAGTAAAAACTTCATATATTATCAATAAATTACACCTGAAAGATTAAGTCTGAAGATATGTTACATCTTAAAGAGTATAAAACTTGCTATTATACAGCAAAAATGCGATGATGTGATGGTTGCTACACGTGGAACATTACCATGGTCATATGGACACATACAACTTATATTCAATAAAGGATATGCATATATTTGTTAACAACCACTTCATTGTAAATCTAGTGGATAGTTTTCTCATTGGCATTCATACCACATCTCTTCATTTTTATATTTAACTGCATGCATGGTTGATAAATTCGGTTTCAACATGTTCAAGTTATAATTGTAAAATGGTCAATCAAAATATAACGAATGTTTCATAATGACATTAACGGTACCAATTTTACTGAACTAGGCACGCATTTTAACAATAAATGTCTCTTCAGTGATGCTCGAGGCCAAAATATTTGAAAATCCAAAACTTGTTCAAAATCAAAAAGCTGATAAAACCACATCAAAACTTTAAATGACAAAATTATGGCCAATGTATTTTGAAAAACATTTTGTTCTTACAATTTAACATCTAAAGAATACTATAGACAGTTCTTTTTATACAAACTGATTTCTATCTAAATAGAAATCAAAGCCAATCATACTGTCCCAGCTGACGTTGGTTGCTGTCCTCATTTTGTTATTCATTTTTTTTATCCCCCGCGCAACGCGTTGCGGGGAGCATAGAAATACTGTCTGTCCTCGCGGTATTGATAGTGCTCTCATGTAAACAATTCTCACCAGATTTTGATCAATCATATTTCAAAGGCTTATAACAGCAATGTCTTGAACAAGTTCAAAAACAAGTGCAGATCAACTATTTTTAAAGGAGTAATGTCCCTTGGAAATATTAATTATATTTTAAATTGTATTGTAAGGGCTCTCACGTGTACCATTCTTGCCGGATTGTAATTTAACTTATACCAGAGGTTTATATCAGCAATGTCTCGGACAAGTTCGAAATTCAATGCCGATCAACTGATTTTAAAAGTTGTGCTCCCTGGAAATATTAATTATATGAAAAATTGCATTTGTAAGCGCTCTCATAACATTGTGTACAATTTTTGCCAGATTTTTATCAAACTTATATCAAGATTAATTTCAGCAATGTCTCGGACAAGTTCAAACATCAGTGTCGTTCAACTTTTTTCAAAAGAGTTATGCCCCTTAGAAATATTTTTTTTAGTTATTGTCCTTAGTCAGATAAATTATGTGCAACGCAGGGGACACTGAAACTGTTTCTTTTATTAGCATAAATCAGGCCGTGCGTTGTCTTATTTTTTTTTTAATGTTTCACGTTTTGTTATGCCGGGGCCTTTTATAGCCGACTATAAGGTATGGGTTTTACTCATTGTTGAATGCCGTACAGTGCCCTGTAAATGTTTACATCTTCGTTCTATGGACAATAGCGGAAAGTCGTTTTGATGGAAAACATGCCACAACTTCTTTTTTTATATAGTTTTGAATTTTTTGTGTTGACGAGTATTAGTCGTTATTATACAAACTGATATAAACAGTAAAAACTTCATATATTATCAATAAATTACACCTGAAAGATTAAGTCTGAAGATATGTTACATCTTAAAGAGTATAAATCTTGCTATTATACAGCAAAAATGCGATGATGTGATGGTTGCTACACGTGGAACATTACCATGGTCATATGGACACATACAACTTATATTCAATAAAGGATATGCATATATTTGTTTACAACCACTTCATTGTAAATCTAGTGGATAGTTTTCTCATTGGCATTCATACCACATCTCTTCATTTTTATATTCAACTGCATGCATGGTTGATAAATTCGGTTTCAAGTTATAATTGTAATGTTCAATCAAAATATAACGAATGTTTCATAATAACATTAACGGTACCAATTTTACTGAACTAGACGCGCATTTTAACAATAAACGTCTCTTCAGTGATGCTCGAGGCCAAAATATTTGAAAATCCAAAACTTGTTCAAAATCAAAAAGCTGATAAAACCACATCAAAACTTTAAATGACAAAATTATGGCCAAAACCGGACAAGGAATCAGAGCTTTGCATGAGGAAGATGTATATTAAGTTATATATTTATTTTTACAGGGTTACAATCTTGTAATTTGCATGATGGTTACATAAAGTCATTTCAAGGTTTACCTGGAAGGAATGTTGAAGTTGTTTGCGCAGGTGCCGTTTCAGATTTTAATAGTTCTAGTAACACTGTGACAGTAATTAAAGTACCTGAATGGGTAATTGAACGAGAAAAATTACAGTCTGCGTCGAACAATCTTGCAAATTGCATTACTGAAAATCTTCCAAATCAAGTCGATATACCCGTTCACATGCAAGTGCGTGCTATTGTATGTGCAGCGCGTGAAGAAGAAGTAAAGTCACAAAGAACATTACGATTTTATAATCAACTAGCAGTTAGCAACATACCATTTCAACAAGGAGATTCAGGTGCCTGTGTTTATATAACAGACGGATACATTGAATCCGGTTGCCTAGGAATGGCAATAGCCGATTATCCTGGGGGTGGATGCATAGTGACTCCTATGGCTACTTTGCTAGAAAAGTTAGGCTTAATTTGAATCCATTGATTCAAGTAAACAGGAATCATTTAATACAAGTAGTTAGAATTTATTTGCATCCATAAAATCGGTCAAGAAATTACCATCAGCTGCGAAAAAATAGATTGGTTTGAACTCGTGATTAACTTCAATTGTTTTTTGTTTTTTTTTGTTTGTTGCTTTATATGACAGCGCTAAATATGAAATAAACAGCAATTCATTTAAGAAAAACATTCATAGTCAAAAGAGCAAATAGTTAGTAAATGCATATAAAAGTATATTTATTCAGATACATGCTTTTAATAAACATGACGAAATGCATTTTTTTCTTTCGATTACTTTTGACAAAAAAGGCTAAATAAAACCAGATGAGTTTTTTGGCTCCTTACAACATAGAAGTAAATTCAAAAGAGCCTCATGGTAATTCATTTAATTGTATATGAATTGTGAAGATTAAAAAACAATGCTTTTATGGATGGCAATTGTTTTATTCTATGTTTCAAAATTTAAATGCACCTTCATAGAAATCAACAAACCTTACCTTCATTCTTAAAAAACTAAAATAATCAAACTATGTATTTTCCTTATATGTCATTTAACTATAAATGGCCTTCTTTACATCAAACCTTGAATGTCAAATGTTCAGCGTAACCCTTGCTATGTTTCAATTGTCTTCAAAAGCGTTGAGACTTTAAACATTTGAAAGACTAGATTATCACACGAATTTTATGTAGTACTTCATTTATTTTCTACCAGTGAAGGAGATAACAAATCGCTTTAAATGCACGTTCTTTAGTTATTTAAGAGATCATGTAAATATATTAATATTATCAACTCATTAATCCATGAGTTCTTAATGATGTTTTGAAAGAGTTTTGTGTGACTTTTTGATGATGATTTTAGCTTTGGTATAAAGAATGTAATTTATCTCATTTGACTGGACTTTAATGAATGTTGTATGATTATTTTAAGTTTTAACTTAAAGTGTATATATCTATTAGCAGCTCATTTTTATTGTGTATTGTACTGTATATAGCATTTTTTGGACTTTGTTGGAAACACATTCAGTAATGATAGTAAGTTAGGAAAATCATAATGCATTTTATTATTTTCCCCACAGGTTTCCGATATACTTGCGAGCATTTTATCTGAGGCATGCAAACTATTGAATGAAAAAAGAGGACAATTTAGATACATCCGTCTTCTCAAATAAAATCTTATTAAAAGTGTGCTACATATATATACAGGGAACCTGAATGGGCCATGGTTGATAACATTAACTGACAGGTTCACACACAATAAAGGAAAAAAAGGCAAGGACAAAGGACATCCGAATAAACGAGGATGTTCTTTATAGGGGTGTATGCATATATATAGACACTTTGTGTGCAAAATTGTGTAAAAAGTGAACATAGTGTAAAAAGTGAACATAGTGTAAAAAGTGGTATATATAGTGAATAATTGTATAGTATATCGGTACATAGATGTGTTGATTTTTTGTAGACATTTACTGTTTTAATTTAATTTTATATTTGATTTAACAAGGATTACGTTGATTTTTATGACAACAACGTTTTATAACTCCTTATAATTATCAATCTCCCATACAGATGGGAGATTGTATAATTATAATGAGATTAATGTATTTTTACTAAAAAGTTGTATGCAAATACCATCGATCATTTGATGAATTTTTAGTAACAGAATTATTTTAAATTATATCACGCATCCCAAGGAAGAGGTCCGGTAAGGGCTTATTTTGGCCTAAAATTGAAGTACATCTGATGAAAGATTTTAGACATTTTTTAAACACTTAAGTGTCTACTTCAGTCGATTCAATAATTTATGTAAAATATTTGAACTGATTTGTTGATTAAAGACGCTCAAATTCAAGATTAATATAGAAAATCTATCAAATATGCCATAAAACGTCACTTTTCAGATGTTTTTTTTTTGTGTCTAAAATGTAAGTGGCCGCATCGTGTTCAGTCTCAACCCTTATATATGTTATGCATTATCATCAAATATAACATATATCTAAATATTAAGACTGAACACAAGTGCGGCAAGTTCCATTTTAGACAAAAATTGTCTAAAAATTAGCACAAAAGCTAAAATTGTAAAGATTTCTGTAATTTTGCATGAATTAATGATGCAAGTACCTTGTGCATGTGCATTGTATTGTCTAAAACAACCCATATTTTTTTTTTCATTTTTATGTAACAAAAGTATTCTACTTTCAATAAATAGCTAAAAGTTTACATTTTAACAAACTTGTAAAAACTCTTTATTGTGGGGCCAAAACGGGGTCTTACCGGGCCTACTCCTTTTCACGTCATATCATTCGTTCATATATCCCATATCGTTGTACTTTTTATATGTACTAAACCCTCCAAATTTCTTATGGGAAACTGCTTGTTTCGGATCTTCTCATTGTGTTGATATTGTGAAATGAACACTTTTTTTAACTGAATTTTGTCTGACAAAGATCAGGATGTGAGTGAAAGGTCTTTTTGTTTAAAGCTGTTTTCATTTTTAAATTATCAATAATTATAAGTAACTGGTTAGTACCGATTATATTGATATTGTAAAATATCAGCTGCGAGTCACAATATGAAGCTTTTGGATAAGTGAGCGAAGCGAACGAGTTCAAAAAGGCTTCATAATTTGTCGAGTAGCTGATATTTTACAATATAAATTTGCAGACAACCAGATAATCGATTTATCGGGTTGTATTTGCGTATTTTGTAAGATAGAAACAAGTGTTTTCTTTGTTTCACCAGCAAACCGGAAGATAACTTGATAAGTTCGGGTCAAACTTATCAACGTCGGTTCATACATTATGACGTCGCTGATATGTTCGGGTCAAAGTTATTAAGGCCGGGTCAACGTATTTGACATCACAAAGCCGTGATATGCAATTTTATTAAGAGCTAAGCAGAGTAATATAGACAGTGGGACGACCGATAATGATGCTTATGTTTACTTTACCCGGATACTGGTATAAAATCGTATCAAAGCCTGTCAAAAAATGGCAATTAGTTTAAATCGAATCTGTCTCTTTGAAATAAAAAAAACAGTTTTTTAATCTTATTATTTTATATAGACATTGTTCATCACCCACCCCCAACAACAACAATCATGTTAGTCACTAAAACCAATTAAAATTATTTTGATGTAGCATTGATAACATGTGGCTACATTTTATATTCATTTACATAGTGGGAAGAGGATAGACTTTTTAGTGATTTTAGTCTGTTAGATTAATTAAATATTATCTTGTTGAGGAGTAAATGAAATATGTTTTATTTTATACAATGAGTGATATGCTAACACCATCATGCAATAAAGATGAATATTATCTAAAAATAAGTTATCAATGATTTTCCATTTGAAGAGCCCAAATTTTGAGGACGAGGATGTCAACAACTATAGGGCACTGAACGACGTACCTTCAAGAATGAGCAAAACCCATATATACCGAATATGTCCGATAAGAGTCCTACTTTAGCTACATATACCAATTTAAAAAAAGCACCGACAGCATTAGATAATAGAAAAAGATATCTACAAATGTATGCAGTATGAAGGAACTTGATAACAATTTTCATTTAGACTGCCAAAAAAAAAGAAAAGCCGAAAAAACATTGTGCAGAAAATGTTTTGAGCAACGCACATACCCTTAAAACATTGATGAACCAGAAAATGCGTTGTGTTAACAGCTCATGGTCCACCTATGTCACTGGTGACATGTACCCGGTTATGAATCATATATTCGTTGACCAGTCATGAACAAGGATGAAAGACGGATTGATATTATTTCTTAACATGGAAATTTGAGTCGAACACACGCTGTGGAACATCATCTAAACTGATAGTTCTGACAGCATTGCGTAAAAGAAAAAGGTATGAACGGGGTTTTTTTTAATTGATAATCTACCTAATGATAGACTGGCAACGTTTTATATAAACCTTCATTGTTTTGTTTTCTTTATCACAAGAGTTTTGAAGTACTAGAGTTAAACACAGTTATCATTGTAGGATTCACAAATAACTCGATATGTCTTCATGCTTTTCGGTGTTATTTTAATGTTTATATACCCGCCTTGACAAGGGGTAGCATATAAATAGTAATGCACATGCCTGTCCGTCAAAAGATTTGGTTCCTGATGATAATTCAATTATCGCTTCAACGAATCTTTTGAAACTTGAACACAATGGTATTGATCATGACACACCGGTACAACTCGATTTCAATTATTGAAATTTACAACTATACAATCGTTGTGTTCTTTAGTTACCTTACACATTGTGATTTTTGTGGTTACCTTGATAAATACCATACAGCTTCACCAAATCCTTTGCAATTATAACACAATGTCATCCACCCTAAAAGACAAGTTCTATTTTTGTATACTTACCGTTGAAGAGTTATCCACTTGGAAACCTTAGAAAATGGTATTTTTGTGGTTTCCAGTTGTTTACAGTACAGCTTCACCAAATGTTTTGAAATTATAACACAATGTCATGGACCATTAGATACAGGTCATCTTAGATTTTTGACATTTTTGACATTTTTGACATTTACCGTTCAAGAGTTAATCCTTTAGGTACCTTAAAAATTGGGTTTTATTTTTACTGATAATTAAAGTTAAAGTTTGCCAAATCTTTTGAAATTATAAAAAAATGTCATGGGCCCTAAAAAAGTTCAATGTTTGATAATGACATTTTTGACATTAACTATTCAAGAATTATCATGCCCCATAGTTATCCTAAACATTAAAGTGCAACTTTACATAATCCTTTGAAATTTAAACACTAGGGACTAAATCTTTTGAAATTTTTCAAGGTGTTTAAAAAAAAAATGAAAAATCTCGGATTTTGTGGATTTTTATTTGTTATATCTTTTTTTTTTCTTTTGCTCACTGTGTTTTCTGTCAATCTCGAATTCAGTGTTTCCGGTGCAACCTGAAATGTATGCCCCCTATCGTACAGTCATAAATATTTCCGTAACCTTGGTATGGTTCAACAAATTGTCCTGCGTTATCAGCGTTACTCTCAATGATATAAAGTAAACACTATTAAATATTGAATAAGACAAAGAAGATGAAAAATAAGAAGATGCGGTACGATTGCCAAAGAGACAACTATCCACTAGAAATCAATGAGGCAGATGTAAGCAATTTTGGGTCAATGTACGACCTTCAACAATGAGCAAAACCAATACTGTATAGATAGCTATTATAAAAGGTTCCGACATGACAAGGTGTAAAAATATGATATACAGCGACCAACGACAACCATTAAATTACAGGCTCTTGACTTGGAAGAGGCACATACAACATGTGGCGGTTTTAACTATTTTGCGAGCGCTCAGCCCGCCACTCCTAATACAGCACACCATGAGAGCAAATTGTAAAAATCAGTCAACAAATCTTGCCTCACCAGATTGCCACAAAGCACAGATTAAACAAAAATACTAAAGATAGAAAGTATCGTTCTAAAAGTACTCGTAGCTACTGAAAGCTGTTACAAAATAAATAAAAAGTAAGGAGATGCTGGATGATTGCCATTGAGACACCAAGGTTCACATGACGTGGATTTAAACTACTATATAGGCCTCAGTATGGCCTTGAGCAATAAGCAAAACCCATACTGTATAGTCAGCTGTAAAAGGCTAGGACATGACAAAATGTGAAATAATTCAAACGAAAATAACCAACGGCCTGATTTATGACCCGGTCAGTAACCACTGAATTGTAGGCTCCTGACTTATGACAGGCGTATGTGCAGGGGTTAAACATGCTAGCGAGAGTTGGACCCTTCTCTAACATAGGACAATGGTGTAACAGCACAACATAAGAAACTGTCAAAATTCAGTGGAAATGTATCTGAAATCATAAAACACATGTGCATGTTGCCTTTTCTTCTTCCCGGTATTGCTATTTTCATTTGGTAAAACTGCTTTTAATTTCAAAGTCAACAGTTTACTGGTATATGACAAGGTTTTGATATTCTGTTGACTAATTCTGAGATATTTTCCAAGAAATATAACAACTAAGTATGAAAGACAGATTTAGTTTTGATATACAAGCAACATCTGCAATTTAAATTTTTGACTGGAAAAAAGTATCTCTGAATTTTCCTTTGAGTAGTGTGGAAATAAATGAAAATTCAACAGGGAAAAAAGTTAACAAGGGACAATCAAAGAGCATGTTCCCAATAAAACAGACACCACCATGGCTAAATAGAAAACGCAGATAAGACAAACAATAACAATAATCCATCACATAGGAAACAAAAGATTGAGCAACTCGAAACAAACAAAACCAGTAAATAGGTCAAGTGCCCCGGAATTCAGCTTGCAGTTCCTGCTCCACTAGTGGCCCATATTTTGCTAATGCAAGTAACAATTCGGTCACAAGTCGCATTTAGCAATGCTAGAATCGAGGAAAGAGGACGGGAATTAACCTGGTTACGACAAGCTGAACATAACGGCTTCCGTGGTCATCTGTGACACAGCCATTCCATAACGGTCAACCATTTATAAAGCCTTTCGTAAAACTGAATAAATGTATATGTATATTACAATATATAAATAACACATAGCTGAGAGGGTGATAGAGCAGATTGTTACTCCGAGAAAGAGCAGATTGTTACCCCGAGAAAACATTGTCAACGGAGGCGAAGCCAAGGTTGACAATGTCTTTTCGAGGGGTAACAATCTGCTCTATCACCCTCTCAGATATGTGTTATCTAATTTACTATACTGAATGCTCTATTATTACTGTCTATTAAATTTCAAATTCAAAGTAATAAACTATGTCGTCTTGTACATAACAATCATCCGTATTTACTTGAGCAAGCGTCTCCGTGAAGGGTAATAGAGCATTTGCCATGGGACAGTATATAAATTACACATATCTGAGAGGGTGATAGAGCAGATTGTTACCCCGAGAAAACATTGTCAACTGAGGCGTAGCCAAGGTTGACAATGTTTTTTCGAGGTAACAATCTGCTCTTTCACCCTCCCAGATAATTATGTGTTATTTAATTTATTATACTGAATGTTCTGTTATTAATGTCTATTAAATTTCAAATTCAAAGTAATAAACTATGACATGTATGACGTCTTGTACATAACAACCATCCGTATTTAATAAAGCGCACACTTGGTCAAGCGTCTCCGTGAAGGGTAATAGAGTATTTACCATACGATAGAGTAAATTGTCTCCCTCGTATCAACCAATCAAAATCTGGCATTTTGACATGAAGTATAATAAAGTAAATTGTCTCCCTCGTACTAACCAATCAAAATCTGGCATTTTGACATGAAGTATAATAATATATATTAAAAGTGATAAGAATTTCAAGAAATTTTACCAGAATTACATTTGAGATGTGATCTTCTAAAAAAATGAGAAATGAATTGGCAAACAAATTGTATGTATATAATATATACCATGCATATCATAGGAAAAAGTCAGAAGTGTTACAAAATCGATCATGAGAAGTCGTAAAACGTGAGAATCTAACATTCTTAATCAAGATACATAATAAAGTAATCTTATCACTTTTCCCGAATCCTGTTTTCTAATAAACTTTCATAGTTTAAAAAAAAACTTTTCATTATATAGTACTTCGGAGAAGTGGGACATCGGAATTTAGGCGTTTCCAAAGGCTACTGCTATACAATGAATTAGATACATCAAAAAGAACATGTAAACCTAAAACTCGTCTACATATATCACATGTATCAGCTGGTTAAATACTTTAAACTTTCTCTAACTGAATGTAGACATTCAGTAATTTAGTATTGCTTATTGTTCTTTGCTTTTACCAGTCTATTATATCAAAATTGTAAGCCTTTTATGTACTAATTTTAACTATACGTTTTTACATACCTAATGTTAACTAACAGTCCGAGATGAAAATAAAAAAAAACGGGAATGGCTGAGATCTCAGATTTTTTTTTTTTTATTAATTCGGCTTGCCATACACGATACATATTAGTGTGTTATCCTGTTTGTTGACATAAGTACGAATCGATACACATTACATTTATACACTCTATTTATATCGGAGCATATGTATTATAGGACATAGGTTATTCAATTCAGACTTAATGAATAAGCAGCATACAAGCTCGTGACAGAATACATTGTTGTCTCGTACGAAGAATTTTTAAAATTCAGGAACGACAACTCTCATTGGCTAAATGCACTGTAAAAACGAACTTCAATTTATATTTTGAGTGTCCTGTCATATTGACAATGATAATAAGTGTATGCGACATTCTAAGCAGACTTCGGACAAGCTTAAAACTAACCCGATCTTACTGTACTACAAAAACGTCTGTAGGATGCAAAAGCAATGGAGCACCATGTAAAAGGTTGTTCAACCAAAGGTATTTTCCGGAAGGTATCAGTGACTATGTTACCAGTGAAGTTTTGAAGTTTTCGCCCAGCATTCCTGTCGAGGAAGCTATCACCCCACCCGCAAGCTGGTAAGTATAGCTTATCTTTTGTTTCGCTTTATAACACTAAATTATGAGCAATGCATTATACATGTTATCTGGTTATAGCACAACTGTTGGTAAATCAGGGAATTCTGCAGGATATATCATGTACCGCTGTCCAAACATACATGTATCATTCACAGCAACGGGCAACGATGACCTCCTACTTACACGTTGCAGCTAAAGGCGTTTTTAAAGTCCATTTTAAATTTTAAACAGCACCTTATAAATGCCGAGTGACAAATTTGCCACTCAGTGGACGTTAAGTAACCAACAATCAATCAATCAATGTATTAATTGATGACAAAAATTACACTATCACAAAGCAACCAGCATCAGCATATACTGTTGTCCGTAAATTGAGCGAATCAATCTAGAAATTTTAAATGGATTCATAAGTTAGTTCTGGCCTTAACAGGGGCGGATCCAGCCATTTATAAAAGGGGGTTCCCAACCCAGGATAAAGGGGGGGGGGGGGGGGGGGGGGGGTTTCAACTATATGTCCCCATTCAAATGCATTGATCGTCAAAAAAAAGGGGGGATTCCAACCCCCGGACCCCCTCCCACCTGGATCCGCCACTGCGGCCTATGCTCAAGTTCAATGTTCGTCGATTTTTATCTTTTGAAAAAAATCCAAACGAAAGGCAGTGAGATTGGAGAATTCCAACATCTGGAATATTCCAATGAATTAAAGCAAAATTTGATTTTAATATGTCCACGTACGCGCGCAGTCTAGGTCTGTTGGTAGCTATAGATGAATTCTATATGTCATAGTATTCAAATTCAGAAACATTTGTATTTAGACATTTCTGTCTCATATCTTGACTTACATCTAGAAATTGACAACGAGGGTCGGTTGAAAACAAAACTTTACGACAAAAGAGATGATTTCAGCTTCCCACTTGTGAACTTTCCATTTCTATGTAGCAACATTCCAGCAGCGCCTGCATACGGAGTATATATGTAGGACTCAAATCTATGGTGGGTTCCAAATCTATGGTGGGTTCCAAATCTATGGCAGATTCCTAATCTAAGGCAAATGTGACGTCATGTCATCCCAAATCTATGGCAGATTTTTTATAATCCTAATCTATGGCAAGTTTTGTAATTTCCTAATCTATGGCAGATTTTTGTTGTTTCCAAATCTATGGCAAATTTTGTGCAAATGTAAAACAATGCAGTACATATGAACAATGACTTGTCTTAAACAAGTGGAAATGTACGGGAACATGTCTGTAAACATTATATAATAGTCAAAACCAAACCGTGATGGCAACCAACAAATTTCATAAATGATGAATTCATATACCTTAATACAGACTTCAAGATTAAAATAAACATTTTCTAATCGGTGCATGATACCTGTTTAACCCATTCATTAAACCAACAAGTAAGTCTCTTAACAAACAAGAAGGCAGTTTTTTTTTTATAATAAAGAAATAAATAAAAATGAACAGTTTGAATTTTTACATAAATTTTTTTTCATCGTTAATACATCTTTTTTTTATTTAATGACGATTTAAATCAAATTGGAATCCAGTAATTTCATCTTTCACTTTATAAACTTTGCCAGCCGTAGACAATAAATATTTACTACAACTCCTTTTCTAAAATATCCGGTACTGAAAACAGCGGGCTTCGGCAGGCACAGCGCATTTTGTCCCTCTTCCGGATAATAGGTCAAATCTTCCTTTAAACCATCCGCAAATTGTAGTCGAGGGAAATACCTTTATCTGGGATAGTGTTCAAATCTATAGGTTCCGCCATCGTTAGCGGCAGCGACGATTTAATATGGCGTTATTTAATTGTGACATTTTATGTTACTTTATTCCCCGGAAAATAACGCATTTTAAAGATCTGCCATAGATTTGGAGAAAACAAAAATCTGCCATAGATTTGGAGAAAACAAAAATCTGCCATAGATTTGATTTGTTTGACGTTTGTAACGTCACATTTGCCATAGATTAGAAATATGCCATAGATTTGGAACCCGCCATAGATTTGAGTCCTACATGTATCTCCCAGTTGATACGATATTCCAGGGCTTGTGTTCCCTATCATGATTTTCTTGATAGAGGGTTACTGGTCACAAGGAAGCTATTAAACCAAGAGTTCCAAGTGGTGAAGTTGAAATCATCCATTCGTAAATTTTACGGACGCCATCATGAGTTGGTTGATCGTTATGGAATATCTATTTCACAGATGACGATGGACATGTTCCAATTGTCGTAACTACAATCTCGTCCCCTTCCCCCGAATGTGACCTACCGAATTAGACATATAACCGGGTTTTGTACTAACATGAGCTACACGACAGGTATCACATGTGGAGCAGGATCTGCTTACCCTTCCGGAGCACCTGAGATCACTCCAAGCTTTTGGTGGGGTTCGTGTTGCTCTATGTTGTTTTGTGTACTGTTGTTTGTTTGTTTGTCTTTTTCTTTTTTAGCCATGGCGTTGTCAGTTTATTTTTCTACTTATGAGTTTGAATGTCCCTTTGGTATCCTTCGCCTCTCTTTTTCAGATAGGTTTGGAATATTCTGGGCGATATGCACATTTTTAAATGAATGTGAACATCTACGTTTATAACCACATATATAAATATTTAGACTCGCTAGCCTTTTTTTACTTGTATATTAATTGACGGGTAGTAAACAGATTATATTAAGTCAAGTCTATGATATGCCCATATCATACATGTGTACATTATCAGGTTTATCAGGTTGTCGTGGTTAGTAAATATTATCATGTAGTATAAATTAACATAAATAGTGTAAAGTAACATCCACACAAATTAAAATATGAGCTTAAAATTCTTGAACCGTTGATCCGTTTTGAATGCGGGTCATGTTTTTTTAAATAAATTGTTTGATTCTAAATTTCTTAACAAAAATTGTTACAGAAGAGAATTTAAAAAATATTAGAAAAAAAAAACAACATTAATTTGACAAAATCTTTTCCCAGGGGCGGATCCAGGGTTCGAGGAAAGGGTGTAGATTTTTTTGCCTTAAATACGACCTCTCCTTGAATCCTCCCCTAAAAACATATAGCAATATATTGTTATTGGTCTTTCCTACCGCTAGGTAGGGTCTATATATCGTCCTGCTTACCTCTTCATAAAATCCCATGTCACGGCTTTTTGGCGTCATATATAATTTGTCTAGTCCTTAACAACTTGGACCAGAGTCTGGTTCCCGTCTGGTATGTGACATCTTTACTTAGCAGGGAAACATGTCTGTGTAAGGCGTTATTCTGTCAAGTAAATTAACACTTGTATATAAATATGGTGTTTTCTGTACATAGAATTCAGCTGTAAAATATTGCATGTTAAATTACCTTTTTCAGGTACACTCAACAACAATTTCACACCCTGGACAAAGCCTCTGTGTTCAGGAAACACTGGATCCCAGTGGGCCGAGTAGACCAGTTGGAAGAACCAGGTCAATACATTTCAGGTAAGATAATTTTTAAATCAAAAGTTGAAATTGAGGAAGCATATGTATATATATAGGCGATGGCTATAAGAGTGCTCGAACTGTTTTACTCAACGAAAAATTTAAAATCCAGAAAAACGGAACATACAGAAACAGTTAAACATCAGAAATTACCACCTAAAACAATCCACATGCAACTACTAATGTTAAGGAATCACATATTTCAAAAATATGAAGTAATCTCGTGTGCTCCGAAAAGATTACAATGTCCTGCACATCTGAATTATCTGTCGTATTGCCCTTATGGATGTTCCTTGTTAATCCGTGTGTCAGTTTTATCATTTAAAAAACTAGAATTTCTAGTGGTGAAAATAGTCTCTTGATCTTTAAAAAGTATAAAAGACTTACCAACACATGCATTTTTAAGTGAAAAATAAATGAAACATTTTTCTGCAAATGATAATGAGCAATGTTATATTTAAAATTTCAAACACAGTTGCGATAAATTGATTGGTGGATTATTGTTATCTAAACATCCAGTGACAAATATTTGAAAGAGTAGTTTTTTAAATGTCCAAAGATCAGTATTTTTATATATTCGCTAAACAAAAACTACCCTATTTGTGAAATAAAACCCTATTTGTGTTCAGTTTAAAAATATGTGTTATATCTGCATACTGCAAGGACTAATACCACTCAACAATAAAAATCCTGCGATAAGAAATCCATGAAAAGTTGTTGATACAAAGTTTATCTAAAACACCGAGATGGACAGGACTTAAACCCATGATATGAACTAGTTCACTCAAATCTTGGGAATGCCGAAGAAAAGATTTATTCAACGCAGGTATCACTACTGAAACAAGAAATGATTACCCTTTCGTAACACATCAGTTCACAATGCTTTGTTGGGTTTCGTGTAGCTCAAAACTTGTATGTGTGTATTATTTTTGGCTGTTGTTTGTCTGGTCATGCTTACTTTTGATATGGTGTTGTCTGTTTTTCTTTGATTATGGTTTTTATTTCTCCTTTGCACCTTCTCCCTTTATTACTAACTTCGTGCCATTTTTTCTCTCTCTTTCACAGGCTTTATAACGGACGATCCTTATCTGGTGACACGTGACGAATCTGGGCAGCTACAAGCATTCTACAATATCTGCCGCCATCATGCCACACTTCTTGTAGACGACAGCTGCGGAACAGTATCTAAGTTCCAGTGTCCGTACCACGGATGGACATATACACTGAGTGGACGGCTAGCAAAAGCAACAAGACTACGAGGAATAAAAAACTTTAACGCTAAAAATTTCGGCTTGATACCACTTGAGGTAACAACATGGGGACCTTTGGTTTTCATTAAATTGTCATCAACTGAGGTCACAAATTCGTCCGACGAACTTAGTGAAAGGTTAAAAGAAGTCAAAACAAGGCTTGACAAAATGGGACTCGATAATCTTCGTTTTGTGGAACGACGTCATTATCGCGTCAATTGCAATTGGAAAGTGTTCATTGACAATTATTTAGATGGCGGATACCATGTAGAATACGCCCATAAAGATTTGGCAGGTTTGATTGAACCAAAAGACTATAAAACAGAGGTGTTTGATGGCTTTTCTTTTCAGAGCTCCTCTGGTAATAAAGGAGAAAAAGAAGGTCAGGATAGAATCGGGAGTGCCGTTCTATTTTCTCATGTTTATCCAAATTTATTTATAAATCGTTATGGACCATGGTTAGATTTCAATTACACATATCCAATAGACTCTGAAAATTGTGAAGTTGTGTTTGACTGGTATTTAGAAAAAGATGCAATGAATGAACTCAATCCCACAGAAAAGGAAGCTAAAATTGCTGATGACATTCGAGCTAGTGAAAAAGTCCAGGATGAAGATATAGTTTTGTGCGAGAGAGTACAAAAAGGTTTGCGTTCAACGTCATTCGAATGGGGAAGATACGCCCCAGGGGTGGAGCAAGCCGATCACAAGTTCCATGTTGAATTAGCTAGTGATTACAGGGATTATCTAAACAATATGAGACCGGAAGTACTAAAACAGTAATGAGCATATTAAGGAGGCTCTGGTAATCTAGACTTTGTTTTACGATATTCCAAGAACATCGTTTTATACGAACTAAATTGAGTGTCGAAATGAAGACAATGGTATTGATAATAGAGATCAATAAATTTCTTATTTATTTCATACTATTTCACGGTGTGACGATATTAATGATATACATGCTAATTACAATGTTGCGATATAAACTAATGATGACTGACATACAAATTCGATGTTTGGTTTTATGTGTTACAAAAATACTATTTCAATGCAATAATAAATGTAAAAGTATGACACTGCTTATTATAGCCAGTAATACGTAGTCGGCACTTACAATTCAATTGATTCATTAATGGGATTTATTAAATTTTATTTGAACTTTGAACTTTTTTTTTTCTAATGATGACCTATTTGAACTACAACCACATGTACATTCGATTACTAGTGGCGGATCTAGGGATAAAAGGGGGGTGCCAGGGGTTGGTACTCCCCTTTTTTACGACCAATGCTTTTGAATGGGGACATATGGTTGGAACCCCCCCCCCTTTTTTTTTTGACGACCAATGCTTTTGAATGGGGACATATGGTTGGAACCCTACTCCCCCCTTTTTAAAAATGGCTGGATCCGCCCCCTTATTACGTACGTAATCATTGTCCCCGATAGTCCTCCGTCGGGTTTGCAATACCGCCCCATCACTCGTAAAATATAACCAGTTATTTCATTTTAGACCATAAAAGTAATTAAGTGATAATTAATACCTTAGGACTATCCTGCGCGTTTACGCATTCATGAAGGAATGTATACTTCAAAATTTGAAAATAAGGAAATGTGGTATGATTGTCAATGAGACAACTATCCACCAAAGTTCAAATGAAGTGGATGTAAGCAATTATAGGCAACAATACGGCCTTCAACAATGAGAAAAAACCATACCGTTCAGTCGGCTATAAAAGGCCCCGACATAAAAAAATAAAATACGAAACAATTAATTTCCGAAAACTTATGGTCTAATTTATAACAAAACAATTTACGAAAAACAAATATGACAGACATGAACCTACAACAACCACTTAACTACTTGTCTTTTCAAAAGCCAGCCATATATTTTAACCAATTCGAATTTTTATTTTGACTAACATCGTCAGTTTTATAAGTTGTTTTCTCATGAGTCACTAACTTACGCAAAGAAAATAAACGCAATGATATTTATGAAGGTAAACAGCCTAAATCGGGATGTGGTAGTACCCCATTGCATGGTTTTACCTCCTGTTCTGTCCCATTGCTAGTATACATCGGGAATCCGATTCGAAATCCGGGGGAGGGGGGTCCGAATCCAGAGGAGCTATTACTCTTTGTTTAGTGGAATTCGTAAGTAAAATCTGATTCCTATTCCCACGGAGGATTGTGCTCCTTGGGAATCGGATCCTGATTTTACTAACCCACCGTGTTGTGATCTCGTGTAATTGCTCCTTGGGATGCGGATTCCTCTAGATCTGCGGATTTGGGATCGGGACACCCGGTGTGTAGTATATATAGTGAGATGGATCTTTATTCTGGTGGGAGAGAAGCAGACAGAGTGTTACGTTATTGTATCTAACCTGCAGTACGGACGAGTGGTCACATAAAATAATCACACACACAACGAATTTAAATACAATTTTAAAATAATATCCGGAAGTACTGAATTATATTGTTTCAGGGAAACATTTCGGCGACCGCTGTGCCGATGTTTTTTCTATTCACTATGAGCTAGCTGTTAACCGTCTGCTTACATTCAATTGGTCATTGGCATTACACCAGATATATGATGACTACATGCGTGTACATTTTCTATATACCTGTAATGTGCATGATGTACATACTGTCCTATTTATAGCATTAATTTCTGTTGAAGAACTTTGAACACCCGAGCAATCTATATGGATGTCCCCCTTTAAGATGGTGCATGGTAAAGGGTTATTTTCGTGCAGCATGTTTGCAATTTTTATTTCACGTGTTTTCGTGATTGGCGCTCATTATTCACTGTTTGCAAATTGTTGAAAAGGCAACGTGCGAGCTATTGTTTTATATTTTTTGTTTATCCATGATCATTTCATTTCATGTTTGTCTGTCCACGTCCGCCTTTCTTTACTTTTACGGCCATCTTTTGACGTTATTTTAATAATGACGTCGTTATATTATCACTAGGACAACGATGGATAGTTGCACCGTCCATCGAATGCCTTTAAAGCGTTTTGAAATTTCAATATTCTTTTTTATACATTTGAAAGGATTGTTTATGCTCACAAGTCTGTACCTATAGACTGTACGACATTAAACTTATCATGGACGAATCAGAGTACAGAGAAGTGAGTAATTTGATTGATCGACCACCAAACAAAGAGCCGAACCAACGTCCTTTCCACTGCATAGTTTCCAGGTATTGTATGTGCTTTAAAACATGACAAAGTTCAAGTTTCTTTTGTCCTCCGGACTCATGTTCTCGGGGATAGTTAAAATAACTACAAAATTGACTATTCTATGACATATAACAACTTTCCAAATTTTAATTTAATAAGCTAACCTATTATACAAGTTGCCTTCTTTTACTTTAGGGGTACCAACTAATATACAGCTGTACTAAACTAACCCTTACCCTAAACATAACCCTAACCCATACCAAACCATAACACTGGCACTAAACCTAACTTAGAACTAACACTAACCTAACATTGACCAAAAATAAACGTTTACTCTAAAGTACTTGGACCTCTAAAGTAAAAGAAGGCACAGGTATAAAATAGGTACCAGGTGATTTGAGACCCCCCCCCCCTTACTTTCTTCCCCGAATTCAACTTAAACACATTGTTTTAAAATAAATGTCAGGCTCAATTTCAAGATTAAGATCTAGATACAAATAGAGATTAAAGGAACTTCTGACTGAGTTAAAAGTTACACAGGAATTTGACTCCAGTTGACATATATATTTTCTATCAATAAAAACTGACCGCCCCAATATAGCCTATAGTGCTGAAAGTGGCGTTAAACACCAACAATCAATCAGTCATATGTTCAACTCCATTACTATTCTTTGATCTAGCAAGAGGCTGCTACTTATCAGATATAAAGTTTACTACTAATATTTGTAAGTTTTTGGGTATTTAAAGGAGATTTACTTTTCATAGTGTTGGCCATCTTTTGACCTTTGTAAGACGAGGTGTATCTTTCGGGTATTTTCATAAGTAATAAAAAAAAACAACAACAAACCATTTCTAATGTATGCATATATTTATACAACTGACAGATTTTACTTTTGATATCGTTCAATAGTCCAATACTAATACATCTTTCTACCCAAAATAAAGTATTTAAATGACTTATTAGAAAAGCAACGATTTAGAAATATAAAAATCGAGGACACTATGAGATATATTTGTAAGGCAAACACTATTTCAAAAGAATTTAAGTTTTATGTCAGGCGTTGGGTTTAAAATTCAACGATCGATCGCTCGTCAAACAAAATGTTTTACTAGTATGTGATACTCTAATGAGGAAATACATTAAAATTACAAATGTTTACAAAGTATCTTAACAAATATCAATAATTACAGAGCGTACGTACAGTGGAGCGTGCCGGTCGGTCTGTGCTTTTTAAGTAATAATGAGCTTTTTAAAAAGGTAGGCTGTTTCTTTTGGTTTCTCTTTTTACCTGAAATTGATGAATTAAATGTGACATTATTGATCAACTGCTGGCATTGGTAACATGCAAAATTCATTGCAGTCTAACTATTTTCCATATAACTTTTTCGACTACTTGAAAAAATATCATAGACATATTCAGATATTACACTTTAAATTTCGTAAAATGACAGCGAATAACTTCAAAAAGTTAGTTGGTTATGAATAATGGTTGTCTTCAAAAATTATTACAAGTATGATATACATTGTTGGCCGGTTATGAGCCCGCTGATGCCCCCCACCCCCCTTTTCCCCTTTCCCCTTTGTAGCGGCGATTTTCTCGCTGCGTTGAAGACCCATTGATGGCCTTTGGGCTGTTTCTGCTCTTTGGTCGGGTTGCTGCCTCTTACAAACATTCCCCGTTTCCATTCTCTATGCTATATAGGATACGAGATGACAATTTTAACCGATTGTTTCATTGTAGAAAAGATAATTACTCCACAACCTTTAACCTTTCAATTTCAAGTACAGAAAAAAATACTTGTTTCTTCTTCCTCATAAGAAACGTTCAAAATTTAACTTATACTGTTAAGAATACTTTTGATAGTTGAATTTTTATTTCTAAAAATATTTATAATCTAAAAAAATCTGGAATTTAAAATCGATACTATAAGTCAGAAGAGTATTAGCAGTGGCGGATCCAAAACTTTTTATAAGGGGGCCCACTGACTGCCATAAGAGGGGGCCTGCTAGAGTCATGCTTCAGTGATTCCCTGTATAATCAACCAAATTTGTCCCACGAAAATGGGAAATCGAGATATTTAATTATTATAAAATGGCGGGAAAACACTGACTCTGATTTTTACCTTATATTTGCATTAGTATCATTTCAATTAGGGTCTCAAATCAAAATAAAAGAAATCTAGAATCTGCTTAAATTTTGGTAAATGACCTTTTATGAACTATTGAAGTCTTATATGAAAAGAAAAATAGGTGTTATGGGGCAAATTTAGTTTACTCTGTATCGTAGGAACAAAACCAAGGAGTCTGAACATCTGTCAAAAATTCCTAAACCTGACCTAAGTACATCTTTAAATTAAGTATTTTATTACATATTTTTTTTTAATCGACATTTAATCAAAAATCGATATCGTATTATGAATTGTTCTGTTTAAATACAATACGATATTTGAACCTCAGAATATTTACCTTTTTTAGAAAATTATCTGATTTATAATGTGATTTTTTATGAGAAAGAATCGCCACGATATAGCCTTTTTGTGCTGATGCGGCGTAAGGCAATCGACAATCAATCAATATGAGAAAGAACAAACCATTATATTGTTCCAGATAATCACCGTTTCTGATGGTCTGGATGGGGAGTCCTTCATTTCTGTATTCTTTAATGTTTGATGTCATTTTTCTGTATTCTTGATGTAATTAGGCTAGCCCATTATTCTCTATTTTTTAAATTTCAGCATCTCATTATTCTCTTTTCTTTTTTATTTTTTGTCCATTTTTCTCTATTCTTTATATTTATACCCAATTCTCTCTATTCTGTAAACCCCCGTTCACACCCCCATCGCTCTTCATTTTAAAAGTGTGTGCTTTTCCAGTGACGTTAGTCGAAATAGAAATAATTCTTGGCTTTCAGGAGTTCACTGTTATATATATGTTTCCATTAACATCGGTTGGTAAATAACATTAAACAGTGAAAACGCTTATATCTGTGCGTATGTGAGTACTTTGAATGTTGTATTAATTTGTCTTTTCTGATTTGTGCTTGGGTCATTGGCGGATTATGGTCAATTTGACAATCATACAAGATCTGACTATATACGGTTAGATGTGTGTGGAACAAAAACTTAAAGATCAGTTCACACAATTATGTTTGTCACATATAGATAGCTTACCTAAATGCCTATGTTATAGAATTTTTAAGACTAATTTGAAATTTGAGAATTATCTCAACATATTGCCTAATAATTTATTATTTGTATACTGCAAATTTAGATGTGGAAGTCACCGGTTACCAATTGAGACGGGAAGATGGCGAGGCTTGTCACGAAACGACAGACTTTGTCATCTCTGCGATTCAAGTGGTATTGGTGACGAATATCATTACATCATGACTTGTAAATCTTTGGATGTAGAGAGAAAGAAATTTTTGCCTGAATATTGCTGTAAAAATCCAAATACATACAAATTTAATGGTTTATTTAATTCAGACAATACTATCATTTTAGAAAAATTATGTAAGTTTATAAAAATAATACAGGTGAAAGTCAGTCCTCCAAGTTAAGTTACGTTTGTTCACACATGTGCATGCTTATATATACATATATGTAATTGTAGATATATATTTTCTCTGTAACTATGACATGTAGTTTTGTGAGAATAAAGTTCATTCATTCAGATCTATTTACAATACTACTACTTAATTACTTTCATTAAATGGATTAATTTCAAACAGTTAATCCTTTATAATGTTTCCTTTAACTACTGGTGCATTTGCACTTTGTTATAAGGGTCTTGATTGGGTTTACAGAATAATGAGCCAGCTGAATAAACATATATATATATAATTTCTTAGCTATAGATGAAAATATAGAAAATCCGTCATTTAATGAATTAGCAACATCGATAATTATATATATGTCTGCATGTGTATGGAAAAAATAATTAAAGGAAGCATATTAGCACGTGACACTGTTTAATAACAGAATTATTCACCCTTAATTAAGAACTAATTCAAAATCGAGGTTGTGTTTTTTTAAGAGCGTTAAGTGTGGTTTAAAGTTCTTTATAGATATGTCACCCCCTGCGAGTTGATCGCAATGAAATATACATGGAAGTGATTTAAAAACATAATGTCTCGGTATAATAAAAGGTAAGATATTTATTTATCTTAAACATGGCTTACTTTACATTAATAACATACGAAAAACGGTCGAAAAATTAATACAATAACCAATAATCTATCAGATGAAATGCACCTTTTATAACAAGACATACTATGCATCGTGTAAACTTCCGAATAGAACGATTCACAGGGTAGGATTCACAGAGATGAAATAAGTCTCGCAAAATCTCGAATTTGCCGGTTCTACATAGTTGACTTATAGTTAAAATATGAAGGTGGCACACACGACAACCGAATTTGCCGGTTCTACATAGTTTCTTCATAAGTACCGGAACCAGGGATTATACAGTAAAACTCAGTTTAAAAGAAGTCCGAGTCCGATGTCAGAATAGGTAACAAAAGAAACTAAGCAAAATGACAATGATTCATAAATTAACAAAGGACTACTAGCAGTTACTGACATGCCAGCTCCAGACCTCAATTGAAAGATTATGTCTTCATCATATCAAAATCAAGCACAATCCCTCCCGTTAGGGGTTTAGTATCATACCATCATAAAATATATGAGAACAAAACCCATGTCATGCCAACAACTGGTTTTAGAATAAATGTGTTTAAATCCGATGCAAAGACCCTATGCGTGAATCAATATTAATACCAAAATATGCCATCTTTAATGACCTGACAACAGTATCGTAATTAACTATATCCATTCTGAATGAGTCTGTTTAAAGGTTTGGTTAGCTTTTGAGGTGAATGTCGACATTTTTGTGCTTTGTATAGAATATTACCATAAAAGATTGGATGTGAAATACCAGAGGGTATAACCCAGGTAGCACAAAACATTTTCACAACATTTTTATAAGGTTGTATAAATGTCGTCTCAAAACGTTGTCGAAAAAATATTTTCGTGATGTTATGTAGATATTTTTTCTTGTATTTTAAAAACATTTATTTAAAACATTTTTTGAAAATGTTTTTACAATGATGTAAGAATATTCATGAAAATGTTTTCAATGACATTTTTTAAGATATTTTGTTTGAATGTTTTATAAATGTTCAGAAGATATGTACGTTCTACCTCTGAAAAACATTTTAAAAGCATATGAGTAAAACATTCTTAACAATATTGCTGCGATGTTTTTAAAACATTTTCTAAATATGTTTCATGAAATGTTTTAATAACATGCCTTTAAGATATTTTAACAACATTTCTTCATAATATTTGATGAAAACATTTTAAAAACGTTACGCATTTAATATTGAAAAAATGAATTTATAAAACATTTTGTTACTAATATTTTAACAACATTTTAAAATAATATTATGAATACATTTACCCAAAAACATTTAAAAAACGTTACGCATTTAATATTGAGAAAATGAATTTATAAAACATTTTGTTGCTAATATTTTAACAACATTTTAAAAAAATATTATGAATACATTTACCTAAAAACATTTAATAGAAAATGTTTAAACAATATTTTGCAAACATTAATTTAGGTTATGGAAGAAAAACTTTATTTCATCAAATGACAGTGATTGAAGCGGTACTTCCCATATATAGCCTTTTACAGTGCACGTATTGCTATTTTCCGGATTTTCTGTTCCAGTACCGACAACAAAAGTTTACACATTTAAAATCTAACTGTTCCCGATGACCAACGAACATGATCCGAAGCAATTTTGGAAACCAGTAACCGGAAGTTTTATTTACCATGCTGTAAACAAGGACAAAGGAAACGTACAAAATAAAGAATAACCTTATCATGCGTTAAAACTGGTAAGATATGACACTAGTTCACATTTATAAAACATTGTTATGCTTCTGGAAATATCTTGGTTAATTTGATTAGTATATTCCAAGAATTAATACGAGTGTAAGCAAGCACAATGCAAAAAGGAGGGTGATGATTTAGTCTACCTAGATGTTATGATGTTTATGTCCAGTGAACATTACGAATTATAGAAAAGGGGTTAAACTTAAGGGTTATTTATATGATTTTAAAATTCATAAATGTAATCACTTGTAACCAGTGAGCATGTCTGAAAAGTTCTGTGTTACAAGTCCGCCCTTTGACGCTTTGTTGGCTTTAACAGACTGAGCTATTTAAGCAGTACTTCCTTAGCTCAATCGCTGGCTACGTATCTACTCTTCAAGGGAATCTCAAACACGCAATGGTTAGCTATAAACACACAATATAGAACGCATACCAGTCGACTGGCATATATTTCCGCCCCAAAATATCTATGATACGCGCCCCTGTGCTATAATATATTGTTTATGTAACTTGTACATTTGTGTTTAGCCCTACAGCCCAGCCCAAGGCCAGATAGTTATTTATGTGCCGGTCCCAAGACAGAAGTTTGATCTAGTAGTTGTCGGTTCATTTCTGACATATTTGTTTTATAAATTATGCCATTAGTTTCATTGTTTGAATTGTCTTTAATTATACGCCCGTTTACAGGACGTATTATGGTATACCGTTGTCCGTATGTCTGTCGTCAACATGTCAGACATTAACTCATAAATGCTTTAACCAATTTGAATAAAACTTTTTAAATTTCAGATTTTATGTTTCCGAGTTCTGGAGTTTTATTCATTCAAAATAGCGTGGATTTTCTAGTTTTCGGACAATAACTCAAAAACGCTTTCAGCAGTTCTCTTTAAACTTTGGTGAATAGTTTATATCTATTGAATTAAGCTCCCTTTCAATTTTCATGAATTTCTGATTTGACATTGAGAAATGATTGAACTTTTTTCTTCGAAAAATGCGATGGGCGTATCATGCGCTCATGGCGCAGCTGTTTATTTTTGAATGTTGTGGCCTTTGTAGCTGACTAATACAATATGACTTTTTCTTACCTGTATTTTATTTATTTTGTTTATTTTAACTTTTGTAGGATCAATTAGCATGATTAGACGTACCAAAATTTAGGATAGATTTTCAGAAATGCAGATTAAAATTGAGAATGGAAATGGGGATTATATAGAAGAATATAAGCTTAGAAATGATTCAAACCATCCTGGAGGAGCAAATTTTATGAAGGTATTTATTCTTTAAAATCCTCAATCTATAGTTCATGTATTTGCGCTAAAATATACAATAACCATAACGAAACTTGTTTTTTTTTTGTAAGACCAAGAAAATGTTACAGGCCCTACACGGCTGGCTACTCTAAGTTGAGAAAATTGTAGTGTACAGTATACATGTCTTATTTTATAAACTGGTGAAATCTACCGTTACACTTTTGTAATAATAATACACCCCAAACTCTACAGATGTATAAAGTAGCTACAATTGTTGCTTGTGAATCCATTAACACTGATTAGATGACACTTTTCAATATATTTTTGTGAAAACACTGGATTAAATTGAAGAAAAATAGTTAATTGTGTAATTCAATGAAATTAGCTGAATTTCCACTCGTTTAATCACTAAACAGAAGGACTAATTTGTTTACACTTTATTTTACAGAAGCCAGCAGATGTCAAAAGAAATAAAAAGAATGGAACAAAAGAAACTTTGAAAAAGAACAGTGATACGAAAATATTGAATAAATGTTTTGCATTTATAATTGTAATTCTATCTTGTATAGTGTTGACTAAGGCAGCAAAGAAAACAGTCAAAAAACTTCAGAAAAAAAATGTCCGATGCTACTTGTGATCAAACATGAGATCAAGAAATACTTCTCAAAAAAATGCACTAAGATTAAAATCAGAAAAAAACCATGACAAATTAGTACGTGTTCAAGGTATTACAAAAAATAGGGTTATGTCAATGATACATCAATCCGACAAAAGTAAACAAAATATATGTAGATTCAACTGCAATCAACAAACAATTGTAAAAGGAGATGTGGGGTAAAGATCAGTATGACAGCAGTTGTTTTTCAGATGCAGATCCAGGATTATGAAAAGAGAGGCCACAGGCTCTAAACTAGACAAAGTTTGAGTGAAATAGTAGGAATTAGATAAACCATAATTGTAGCTCCATAAGGGGACCCAGGACCCCCCCTCCCCACCCCCAGATCAAACATGATTAAAATGTTTTTTGAATATTTTATAAAACATTTGAATGATGATGTAAGAAAACATTTTTCTAATGATATTCATATAACATTTAAATGATGTTTTGAGAATATGAACATTATTAAAACATTTTGTAAAATGTTTTTTGAACATTTTCACAACATTTTATCCTGCAAAAACATTTTTTTTTATGTTTTAAAAATGTTTCAAGGATATTTTATAAACATGCATATTTAAAACATTTACAAAACATTTTACAAACATTGTCAACAAAATTCAGAAACGTTTTAATGATGTTTTAAAAATATCCTGGACATGTTATGGAAAATGTTTTGAAAATATTTTTAGCGCCATACATTTTAACGTGATTTTGATATTTTCTACGATATTTTCACAACATTTTTTAAAATGTTTTTAAGACATAAACACAATGTTTTTGTGTTAACTGGGAAGATGTCTGCATGTTGATTTGTATTTACGAATGATGTCCTTGTACCGATGATAAAAATTAGTAAATGTTTTGACTAGTTTGTGATATCGAAAACCCTGGTGTAATAATTTTTCAGTAATACATAGGTTTACTAGTCATTTTATCATGAAAATATACAGGAAAAAAGTTCTAACAATGACAAATAAATTTACAATTACATCTGACTGATAAATCTCTAAAATATTCAAGTGTTTCCCCTTTAGTTAAACATGCAGTAAATCTGGTTTAACATGTTTCGTATATCCATTCCATTCTATTATTGAGGTTAATTGATAAATGCGTCAATAAATTGCAATTGTACATACTTTTTTCATAAAGATTTGTTTTTTGAAAAAAAATAATGATCAATAATGTGCAGACACGCGCGCTTAACATGCCTTACGACAGTCACTCCTCTGTGTACGTAGATGTTTTCTGACATCACCTTCCAAACAAACTTCAGAGTGTGAGAGACACTAATAATGCAATCGGTATATCTCGCTGCTCTTCCATTATAGGTGAGATCGATTACAGGGAAGGACTGAATTATTCGGGTGAGAGTGTAAGAAACACGATTTCAATTAGTACTTTGACACCGCATTAAATTACTGTTAACATTGTTATGATCGGTTTATTAATTAGTATTGTTCTACTTGTAGACTGTGTTTTGACTGATCCTATTATCTGGGACTATTACAGTATAATAGTCCCAGCTATTATACAGCTTTTTATATCTTTTTTGTTAATCCACTTGTCGAACACAGCCACTTGTCTTTTAAAAAATACATTACTATAAATGATATTTGTATTGTCATATAAACATAATTAGTTTGTGACAAAAAAAAAACAATAAAAAAATAAGACGACGTGGTATGATTGCGAATGAGACAACTCTCCACCAGAGACTAAATGTTAACTATAGGTCACCGTACAGGTATACCTTAAAGTTTATATAACAGGGTTATAGTTTAAAAAGTTTTAAAGACAGTTGTCTGTTTGGTCAAAGTAAAAACAGTTGGCTATTGACTCAAAATATATATAAAATAAGTCTAAATTTATTGGCACGATGACATTTTTTTAACTGACATTAAATATGGCAATTTCAGGATGAAAGGACCCCTTTTTTTATTAATCGATACCTCTCTCTCTCTCTCTCTCAATCTATCGAACTCTCTCTTCATCTGTCTTCTTTTTTTTTCTTTCAATAAGTGTTTTACGTTTTGTCGGTGGTAGCTACGTCATAATAATATGTATTCCATGTGTGGTTATTTCGAATACTGATCTATAATTAACTCGATCTTCTGCTAAATATACCAAAATCAATTGAACGTAAATATTTGATAGGAAACTGATTGCATTTTAATGGGTTTCCAGTTATCTATAAAATTTATTAATTTTTTCAGCTCCAGTAGACCAGGCTCTTTGAAAACTATTGATAGGTAAGGCATCCATTTATGACTTTGCACAATTGAAAAGCTGTGACGATATACTGTTCGCAAGATGTGGTACGCTATGAAAGATAGTGGTGTTTTGAAAAGCTCTAATTATTTTTTTTTTGTACGCTAAAATTAATATCTACATTAGAAATGATCTATACTTGTACACATGCAGGAATTATGATTAAAAACGTCAAATATGAATTGTGAATTAGTTCTTGATTAATGTTTTAAAACTGAAACTTGAAGCAATAGTATGTTGGAGAGGAGATCGTTAATAGGCGGGAATGTGAGGTAAGTAAATTTAGTGAAGATGAAATATCCCCAGTGACTGCACCAGAACGAAAGAGGTAGGGTGACGCGAGTTTGAACTGCTGCTCCTTGGCTTCGGGGTTTTTTAAATCACGTCAAAATCATGGCAACAAACTGTCACCTACTGGTTGTGAAAATTAAGGTAATTTTCAATATATATTAATTGTATTCAATTTGCATATTTTTGAAAGCAATAAATATTAGCTTATGCATTGGACACTCCTTTTATTTGCCATTTAGTTAATGGTCAGTTCTCTTTGCCGAGTTTGTTCCGTGCTTATAGAATTTCTCCAAGACAACGGATAGTAACCACTCAAAGCAATTAATATTTAAGCCCTTTTATGGGGTAGTAGGTTTTAAGGCCAGGCAGTTTGATTACTGAACACGTGAAATTGTTAACAAATTTGAAAATTTTGTTTGCCTTTATCATGAAAATTTTAAAATATATAGTTAACTAAATAATCCTATACAATTTTTATAATCATTCCATAACAACTGTATAGATAACGAAGTAGGGTAAGATAACTTCCGTTTTACAATAGACTACAATATCTTGGAAATGTATGTATACAACTTGTGGACGAAAGATACTGAAAATATAAAAAAAAAGATGTGGTATGATTGCCAATGAGACAACTCTCCACAAGAGACCAAATGACACAGAAATTAACAACTATAGGTCATCGTACGGCCTTCAACAATGAGCAAAGCCCATACCGCACAGTAAATTTACTTCTGTTCGACTAAAATGTGTTTGATGACAACTCATTAGTAAAATAAAGTTTTTATACTTTAATTTTATTATTTTGAAATAATTGAAAACAGTTTCACATGGTTGTTTGAGTATTGTCAAGTGGCAAATATTACATGTTTTTTTTCAAGTCAACAACAATAGTTTTGGTAGGTTATTAAAATTTTAAGGATATGCGGACATTTTTTGTTGTTGCTACAATTAGCATATATGGTGATAGGTTTAATAGAGTCAGAAACTGAACCTGGGTACAGGTCACCTACAGACCCCTAACGAAGTTGTGGTTTGAAAAGAGTTTGACACTTTCCTTAACGGAACATTGGATTTCATGATAGTTCTTACATAGCATATTCTGTGCCCTCGTACAGTATTCCTACTATGGGAAAGGGTGATGGTTGGGATTCAAGATATTCCTCCACTTCGTTGGTCGAGTTGTATTTCTGTCACCAAAAGGTTAAGGGTATCATGTGATGGTGTAAGATTAAGTTATTGTGTATACAAGTATGAAGAGGATACAATTAATATATATAAAAGGAAATACACGAAAAGATTAGATTTCTGTAAGTTCGGCAACACATATGTATTTAAAAAATATTCAAGTTACCCCGTCCAAACTCCACACCACACCAGAAACGTCGGTTGGTAAAATATTGGATGTAATGAGTACATAGTAAAACTGTTATTGTAAATCTCAATAATCAGAGGTCATTTTGTTAAGTACGATACGCTGTTATTTGATTTCCAATTTAATCTTTTAATCTTGAAATAAACATTGTTATCCCATTATAGAATAGTATCGTTTCATGAATTACCAAATTGAAAGATTTAAACGGTTACGTCATAATTTTTTTGGCAATGATCTACGTACCCGTATTAGTACTGGTAATTAACCTCAGATATTTTTTTAAATGAACTTTGTTGTTTGTTGTTAGTACTAAATAGACCGACCGATCGACTGATCAATTAATTAGTTGGTTGATGTTTTAATAAATTTGTGCACGACGTCCAACGGCGGATACTTCAAGCATATTCTACACGATAACACGTTAATGTATGCAAAAAAATATGTTTTGTACTGGACCGACTAAGCTAGACATTTGGGTAGCTCCTATAAAGTATTAATAATAATTTTGGCAGCAATTTATTTTGCACCCTAAGTTGCACACATTTTACAACAAAGCGTTATGTTGATGTAAAGTGAATGTCCCATTGATATTATACATGTATTCATAAAATACTCAATATTAAGCTATCAACTTGTCAAACTGCGCATGCACACATAATTTTATTGCATGCAATCCCTTTTTCTACCATCTACATTCCATTATTTTAGATTTGATTTTTTTTCTTCATTTAGAAGGCCATCTTCGTACGCACCCAACGAAAACTTACAAAATGAAGTAGTAAAACTACAGTCTCAAGTTGAGATAGAGAAAAAAGGAAAGAAAGAAGCAGAAGAAAAGTAAGTGTTCTTATTTATAAAAAAGAAAGAAATGAATTGGAGAAAAAAATTAAAAAAAAATATTTATTGAAGTTTTATTTTAGCCATGAGTAGAAATGTTACTATATAAAAAAGAAGATGTTTGTTCATTTATTAGTTCTGACTATTGACAATAAAGCCTCCTCATGGAGTTTTTGATTATGTGATTTCTTGGCCGTTTTTATAGTGATTATTTGATTACCAGACCAAATATTTCATGATAATTCAATAATTGATATTCTAGGATTGTATTTTTGATTATTTGATTATCTTGTTTAAAAAAAATAATGACTATGTGATTATATTGGCAAAACAATTGTGATTATGTGATTACTTGGACAACCCCATGAGGGGCCTCACAATAGGTAGCTTTATCAAACATGCGTACATGTAATTTCAAAAGACAAACCCAATTGTTTAGAAAACGACATTAAGGTAGATGATGAAATCAAAAATATTTTTAAACAAGAATGTGTCCATAGTACACGGATGCCCCACTCGCACTATCATTTTCTATGTTAAGTGGACCATGAAAGGGTCAAAACTCTAATTTGGCATTAAAATTAGAAAGATCATATCATTAGGAAAACATGTGTACTAAGTTTCAAGTTGATTGAACTTCAACTTCATAAAAAACTACCTTGACCAAAAACTTTAACCTGAAGCGGGACAGACGGACGGACGAACAGATGAACGAACGAATCAACGAACAGATCCACAGACCAAACAACATAATGCCCCTAGGTGGGGCATACAAAATCTGGAACATTTCAAGGAATTGGAAAAAGAATATTTTCATTAAATGCATATAGAAACATAAAATATTAAAAACATATATATCGATATTTTATTCGGAAACAACATGCAAGTCTCTCGTATGATTATAAAATTATTTCTCGGTCATTTCTTGCTTTTAAGTAAAATATATCGAAAGATTTTTGAAAGGGTTATAGAATATTTTCTATCATGGCATGGCAATTCTTATTGTATAAAATCTAATTTTGATCAGATATAAACAAATAGTTGGTAAACTTGATGTGGTACAACATAGACTGATAGACAGAAACAAAGAAGTGGAAGAAGAAAGAGAAGCAAAGGAAGAAGTCATGAAGAGGTAAATAAATAAAGAAAGAAAGACAAAAGTATGCAAAGTTAAATGCAAAGTATAATGGGTTGAACTTGTAAGTTCATTGCTTCGATTGCCAGTCTTTGAACATATTTGTCATTAATCAGCCACACAATTTTAGTTCACAGATCCAGGACTCTCTGATAATTAAGGTCAAGGGACAGTAAATGAGTTATCTTACAGATTTTGCTAAAATTTTGCATACAACCTATTACTGAAAAATCGAAAAAAATAATGTATGTATCTCTTTTGTTATCTGAAATTTTACTAAAGAATTCAAAATAGGTGAATATTTGTATAGAAAGCACACAACATTGACGAAAAACCCTCTTAAATTTGTCTTATAAATTCATTAAATCTCTCTACATTTCTAATGGTCTTTTTTGAGTTTATAAAAACTAAAATATATTCTTTTTACATAGTTGTGGCTTACTCATGGACAGCAAGGTGCACACCATTGCAATTAAATTTAGCCCAGTATTGGAACAGAGAAATTGACTCACTACTTTGTATTTGTGTATTCACGGGCTTAAAGATAATTTTTCATATGAAGCAAGAAAACAGAAAACAAGAGATGTCAGTTGTACTCAATACTCAACTCCTATATAGGAGAAAAAAATATGTTACCACATATATTTTTTTTTCACTAGCAACTTGACTGAAAATTATTATTCCAACTGCAAAAGTCCCCCATCCCCCACCCCAAAAACTGAATGGTCGATTGTCCCCTTCCATCATAGTGCAAGGATTTTCTGTTTTTATTTTATTAATTATCCTGCAATTATAAAATATTGTATTACTTCTCTTTGTAGCAATAAAACATTGCAATTGACCATAAACAAAATGGAACAGTATTTACGGAAAAAGAGTACAGGTAGTCGGTTTGAATCAACCAATGTAGTAGATGTAGTAGATCCTGATATGGGTGGGTAAGTATTGTTTGAATAATTTCCAGCCTATAATTGTAGGGGGCATTGATTAAGTTTTGTAGTCTGTGTGTCTGTCCCATATCAGTTTACAGTTTGATGTAGTTTGCCATGAAGTTGTGGTATAACATCGACTTAAAATTTAGAACTTATATATAATATATATATAAACTGGGAGTTGTACTGGTTTTGACCCAGGTTTCACGGTTCACTCTACACGGAAATGTTAAACTCGTATTGTTAGCAGGCATAATGTCCTATGGACCTGACACTACTATAATACATTGTCTCAGTATGGACACACATTCTGGTTTGAAATTACAACAATTTCTAACCCTGAGTTAAAGTAGGCGATTTTTTTCTCTCACTCTAAAAGATCTCCATTTAAAAACCTCAAAAAGCCACTTGAAAATCATAAAAAAATCCTTATGAAAGGGAAATAACTGTATTCGATAGGCCCAATCTTTATGGATATAAACAGGTAAGGACAAGAAATCATAAAATATAAACTCAATGAATACAGTATATGTCCCTCAATTTGACCTTTGATCTAACATGCCATATGCTTTGTAAAAAAATATTCTACTATTGTCTATCACTATAGTACAAAATGTATAATAAAGCTGGGTTTACCATTGATCCATTTACAGGAAAGTAGATATAGAAAATATTATTAAGACAGAAAACGAACTAGAAGAAAAATCTCGACAATTACAGAGAGAAAAACAGGCAAATGAGATCCTGGATAAAAGGTATTTCACAACATGAATAACTTTGAATAATAAACATTTTGTGCTGATTAGAAATGATAAGTATTTGCTTTACAAAGGTTAAATTAGGAGTGGTCAATTATAGACAGGTTTTAAGTTTATACATGGTACATATTAGACAGGTTTGATTACATTTTCTGTCAAAATCTAAAATATATATATATATACCTTTATTTTCTACATTATGACAGTTGCTTCAATATCTATTAAAACTTTTAAAACATCTATCATGTGAAATATATGACAATGCTTTCACGAAACAATTGTAAGGTAATGACCATTTAACTTTGAGGGGGGGGGGGGTATGTTTTTTTTTTCAATCTAAAATATTTTGTTGGTATCACAAAAGCATCGAATTATTTTTTATAAGAATTTAACATTGTATGGTTTTTTTTTAATCTGAAATATATTTTTTTGGTTTCACACAAGCATCAAATTATTTTTTTTAAGAACTTAACATTACATTTAATGACAAAAGCTCTCAATCAGAAAATTTTTATTTCCTTCCTATTCAAAATTATTTTTTCTTCAAACTTAGTAAAAAAACATAACCACCGCCCCAACCTTCCCCCACCTTTTCAGATTAAAATGGTCATTCCCTAAATATTTATATAGTATCAAAGAGGAAGTTGCACACCATCTCCTTCAATCTATAATACAGGTAGCCATTTGTGGTGAAGTAAAATTAACATGGAGATATCACTAATATTGAGAGATGTTCTCGTGGACCATTTTTATAATTAATTCAATTTATAAGTGTCACTAGTTCTTTTTAAAAAGTTGGCTTATTCAATGAAATTTTTGAAAACAGTGATATTTTGCTTTAGGCTACAGAGCTATTTCATTTTATTGTGTTTCCTGGCATGAGTGGAAATAGTCTCAGGAAATAGTTTGATGTGAAAAAAATGGAGGAGAGTTTTTTAGGTGATCATATGGAACTTCTAACTATTGGTGTATTTGTGAGCACATTTTATTTAATTCCTGATAGGATTAAACAATTTATTTATTTTCTTTTTCAGATGTAAACTGTTAGAAAAATTACTAAAAGAAAACAACATTCATATAGAGAGTATAGAGAGTAATGAACTAGACAATTTAAACACACAATTTGCCAATACAGAATTAGACTTCTAACATTATATTTTTTTCATAGTTTGTTTAAATACTCGTCTGACATTATTCATTACAAATACCATATTGATCTTTAATACCAATATAGAACATGTAAATGTGATAAGTGCAAAAAGGTTATAAATAATGATGTCATCGTGCAGGTCATGTGATTTATTCATTTAAAGCATAAAACATTCACATGTTAATGAATTATACTGCAATTTGTGGTCTTTTCAATATTTACTTTTATAGAAGATATTAAAACAATATCATATGATGATGATACAATTACTCAGTTGGAATGTATATAAAGCTAATAATATTTTAATCATAATCGACCACCAAGTGCAAGAAAATTGTTTTTTTCTGTAAAATGTGTTCTTTGCTAGATGTTAATTTTGTCTTTCATTTGATGCATTTAGTTAGGGCTGTTCCAAAATAATTTTTTTTGGGGGGAGCACTTTTTTTTTAAATCTAATTGGTGGGGGTTATTATCATGATTATTGTAGGAAGTAATCAATCAAAATTTTATATATGGCATAGTAAAATAAAAAATGTGCCTTTTGAGCCTCCACATATATTTTGGAACAGCCCTTACCAATCCATTACAATTTACATATAACAATGTAAGGAATTTTTGCATTATCATTTGTTGTGAATATCTATGTCTGTTTTAAATTGGTTTGGGCAGCAAAAATATAGTTAACTAAACATATCATTCCAATAAATAAAAAATTTTAATATTTGTTTGTCTATAATCAGAAATGCTTTTGAAGTGGAAAACGAGTGAGAAGTAGAACATTTACTAATTAGACAGAAACCAAACAACAAAGCAGAGGAAATATGTATAATGCGTTTTGATACTTTTTTTGGAAATTTTATGCCATGATGAATACAAACAAACTAAGAATGAATATTCAAGAAAAATGTGACAACTGACAAATATATTATTAGGGGGCCATGATTTATCCGTCACTCTTTATAACTTGTTTTAACCTTGACATGTCCCTCCGTTATGGTTGAATAAAAAAATAAACTAGAGTGAACAAAACAAAATGAGATTCTTCACTGAATTTAATGGATAAAATTTTATATCGGATTCATTACAAAAATTATGTTGCTCATAGTCTTTCAAGTCTGAAAAATATCATTTTGATAGACAAGGCTGTACAGTGACCTATAGTTGTTCTCCTTTGGTCTCTTGAGGATAGTTGCCTTGTTAGCTATCATACCATATGGACATATTTTCATAAAGTACATGTACATCATGGGCCCTTGGTCTCTTGTGGATAGTTGTCTCATTGGCAATCATACCACATCAACTTATTTTACATAGTATATCTTGGCTTCTTTGTTTCTTGTGGATAGTTGTCTCATTGGCAATCATACTAAATCAACTTATTTTTATTTAGTACATGCTTGACCCTTGGTTTCTGGTGCAAAGTTGTCTATCATTGGCAATCATACCACATCAACATTTCTTTATATATATAATTCTACAGCTTAAAACATATAAACATTCTGATTGAATTTTTCATTTTTTTAATAAATATCACATTTGTATAATGTACAGATTTTAGCACTAGTTTATCTGGTATCCTTTGCTCTAATCATTGCCATTGTCACTCTCACTACTGGTTTTATCTTCCTTAAAGTGAACCAGTGCTGTTCCTTTAGATACTGTATCCCCAACTTTATAAAATACCTTCTCTATAATTCCTGCCTTAGGTGCTCTGATCACATACTAAATACAAAAAAAACCACAATGAAATAATTTTATTATAGCACAATGACTTGAGTGTGTAGGTAAAGGTAATATCTTTGGTAAGCTTGCTTGCTAGCTGAACTGTGAAATCAGCATTAGTTAAGGTACTACCTTCTTTTGGGCAGAGTCAATTATTATAGTTAAGAATAGAACCAATCAGAAGTAAGGACAGTGCATACACATAGGTGGATCCTGGGGGCCCTGGCCCCCCTTTTGAGAAAAAATTTGGTTATATAGGGAATCACAGAAGCATGACTGTAGCAGGCCCCCTCTTATGGCAGTCAGTGGGCCCCCCTTATAAAAAGTTCTGGATCGGCCACTGATACACATTGTGAAACCCGTTTAGAAATATGTTTTCAATCTAGATTTAAAATATAGTATCAATTATAAGCCAATTCACTAACATGTTGTAGGTGCGTTTGATTTGTTAATTTCTTTTTAATCAAAACAATATAATACCATCTTTTTGCTTATTCAATTATGGTCTGTTGTTTTACCTGTATATGGAGCCTTTTCATTTTGACCTTGGTTACAAATTAAGGCAACATTAGTTTCCCAATTTTCAAAGCTCATAAATTGATAAGGAAGACAAATACAGGAAACAAACAAAAACTGGGGGAATTGCATGAACTCCAAGAGGAACGAGACTCAGTAAACTGACATGGTAAGTGTATCTTGCTATGCATGCATCACCCGCCATGTGAATCAACAGTCAGTCAAAATGTCACAATCAGGTAGTAAAATTACAAATTTGTACACCCATGTTTATATAGTATAATGGCTAATTTCAGGATAAATTTGGTTTTTAGTACATTTACTTCTTGAGTACCTAAAGACCTACATATAGTAAAACCCAAACACTTTGTTGTCAATAAAGATTGGAGTCGAACGCAACTAATACATGCAGGATTCAACCAAACAAACTCAGTGTTGACATGCTAGTGCTACAGCAGTTGAACCACTTAAGACCACTCAGCCACAGAGGCCCCTGCAAATGTTATGGAATTTCATCCTGTTGTGTGTTGTATCAAGTAGGGAACTATATATGCACGCATGGTAACCCTATGGCAGGCACAACAAATTATCTACCATGAAAATATTTATAACAATGTATCATACCTCCATTTTCATAGCAATCATTGTAACAAGTGGATCCCCTTGTTGTACCTCAGCTCCAGGCTGAACTGTGACCTTTTCTATGACCCCTGGCATTGGAGCAACTGCATCATCAGCGCCAGCTGCTCCTTTGCTAGCTTTCATGTATTTTGGCTTTGGAAAAGTTAACTCATGTTTGCCATCCTGAAAAAAATATGGTTATGTTAATGTATTGTTTAGTTTGTTTTATACTTTATAAGAACCTAAGGTATGCCAATCTGATTAAAATACATGTCCTGTGGTCACATTTTGATTACAAGAATCTGACAACATTCTGTTTTATTTTCTCTGTTCTGAAGACCTTATTAGGACAGCTGAATTTGATAGTATTGATACACACCTTAAAAATTAGACAGAAAGTTCATTGGTTGTTGTAATAATTAACCAAACAGACAGTAGACATGGACATGGGAGTGTTGCAACATCTGTGGGGACTTTACCACACCTTTTGTTGTATGACAGTATGGTTAAAATACCAGATTTATTTCACATGGGAAATATTGTCTTTTATTTGACCTTGATATCACAGTATTTCATTGTACTCAAAATTTGAATAGTATCTTTCAGATTCTACTAAAATAACTTATTGTATAATGTGTACCTATCCTGAAAATGCATGTAATACAAAATAATATGTCCCACTAAACATTAGGAAATCAACAACAATCAATCATACCAATCCATTTTTATTTAACTTACTGTAGTAAATATATGAAGAGCATCTTTCTGTATTACTATGTTTGAGGAGGATATAACACCATCAATATTACACCTGATGGAAGTACGACTACCATCATTGGTTAGTTCAGCAGTCACATGGTGTTCCTGGTTGCCAATAGTAACATCAAATGAGTTGTCTGAATTACACTGGACCATAACATTTACATCTACAATTAAAGAACAGCGTTCCTATGTCACCTGCATATGTACATATTTTATATCAAAGGGCAATAACTCCAAAATAATTTATTTTGAGTCATTAAATCTTTTTCATAAATATCCTATAGTTACAAGAAATGTAAGAATGAGATCGCTTTCAAAGTTGTTTTCCACAAAATTCTATATTTCCAAGGGGCATAACTCCTGTAAAAATAATTGATCTGCACTGATTATCACACTGTTTCAAGACCTTGCTGATATAAACTTTTGATATCAATTTCATAAAATCACAACGAAAAATGTTTGAAAGTGCTCATATTTGTTTTTCATTCATTATTTTGTACATAAATAAGGCCGTTAGTTTTCTCAATTAAATTGTTTTACATTAGTCATTTCGGGGCCTTTTATAGCGGACTGTGCTGTATGAGTTTTGCTCATTGTTGAAGGCCTTACGGTGACCTATAGTTGTTAACTTCTATGTCATTTGGTCTCTGGTGGAGAGTTGTCTCATTAGCAATTATACCACATTTCCTTATTTTTATTTCATTATGCAATGTTCAATATAAATTGCATTTCAAAGGGACATAATTTCTGTAAAAATAGTTTAACAGTACAGCTTTTCAAACTCATTACTAGACATCACAGATTTAAACCTTTGATATAAATTTCATAAAAAGTCTGACAAGAAATGAAAGCTTGTGAGAGCTTACAATTAAATTTCCTATAGAATTTACATTTCCAATGGACATAACTCCTGTAAAAAAAATGATTAATCAGCATTAATTTTGGTACTCATCTCAGATAATGTTGAAATAAACCATTTAATTTTCATTTCCAAGGGGCATTTCTTCTTTAAAAATAATCTACTGGTACTTATTTCGGCAATGGTCCCAGACATTGCTAATATAAACATATGATATAAATTTTATAAAAATCTGGCAAAAAGTGTACACACGCTTACAAGACTGGGTGACCCTACAGACGGACAGTTGCCTCAGGTTTCAATGTTACATTCACAAAGTTGCATGGGGTTCAAAAGATATTAACAACCTTTCTCAGTAATTTTGCCATCTCATATCTATGTCAATATGTATTTCAATTTCCAATATTAAGCCAATGGAACCATTGTCTATATTTTAGGTTAATGATTTATGTGTGTGTTTTTTTTTTTTTTTTTAAGTTTTGGTGTTTCATGGTTATTTTGCAATTGTACATTTCGACAAGTTCTTTATTTTTCATTTCATTTAGATAACATTTTTGTAACAATTTTCTGATTATTTATTAGTTTAAGAATGTGCAAGTATCTGAAGCTGTACTGACAAAACTCACCATTTTCTCCATCTTTTAAATGTATCCTACGTTTGGCTTGATTATTTATTCTTGCTGATGCACATAACAGAAATGGTGAAAAAGGATCTGAAACAAAAACACAAAACAATATTTCAATCAAGCAGTTTGATCACAGCCAGTCAGTAATTCCCAAGATATTGCATGCTTTAATTAATTAATTAACATGATTAATGATATCCATATTCCTAATAACAAGATATACAACCTATGAAATCCAGCTGACTAAAAAGTTATTTCAATGAAATCTGTGTCTATTCCATCATAACTTTACTTAAAATAACAGATCCTTCAAGAAAATGCAGGCCTCTGGCTAAACAAACTGATCTAAATTTCAAAATTAAAATTAATATACTAATTTACAACAATAGTTATATATAGAGACTTACAAATTTCCATTAATTGTATATTTCTCAGTTTAGAAGACACATTTTATAATATGATTTCTTTTCATTTAGCCCTAACACATTAAAACTTTCATTTGAAAAAATTGTTTAATTCTTCAAAAAAATAAAACCATAGCCTCAGTATCAAACCTAGAGTATTTTGGTAGGTAAATTTAGCTGTCTCCCGGTCTTTCAGTACTAAAGCTACA